CAGGTTTTCCAAGGTGGTCTAGCTTCAATTGACTCATGATTTCAACTAATGATATCACTTTAAACTTCGATTCATTCAGTTTATGATATTTTTAAATCCATAAACGGCAGATGAGTTAGCCACTTTTATACTTGTTAACCGATATCTAATATCAATAATCAACAATTATAAGATAGATAGTAGCTAGTGGTCGAATCCAGGACGTGGGTCTCATTTTGCTTAAGACTTTTCAGCTGGATAAACCTTCATCCCCAAGTTTATATAAACTCCAGGACTCGAACCCGCTATTATTCGCTCCAAACACTATCGATTTATCCACTTCGATACTGAGTTAAAACTAGTCACGAATATGATAAAACACGAGTTTTAGATTCCATTGCTAGCCATCATCATCTCTTCTTATAATGTTTGTGAATCAAGGCATTTTATAGAGGCCATTAATTACGGTCTTACTTAATGTAGAGTGAAAAACACATTTATACTACAATTATTACATTATCAAATTAAAGTAACCATTTTTTTTTATTAGAAATATATATGTTCTCATCAATATATTTTACTTTACGTAAATCACTGTGCACACGCTTAAATTATATTAGTATTGAATTAATAAACAGGAGAACTATTTATTCATTCCCAATGAAAACTTAAAGGTTCCATTAAATTATTTTGTCAATAACCTATGATCATTTAATCAATAGATGATGTAAACATACAATATGTGTTTTAATAGGAACAATTTTTTCAAAGGTAAAGGGTTGAAGTGTGCCAAGGAGGCTAGACATATCCAGTTCATATTACATAATCGTGTATTATATATAAAACACAAACTGTGCAATTAGTATATTTCCTCTCAGTGATCATGTATAACCAGTCAATATAGAGTATTACCTGTACTTCCAGTTTTTTTCACAAAAACAATAGAATCCGAAATTACTGAACAACAAAACCATCTGTTTACCAACTTTCTCGAGGGTCAAACTAGTAATCCATTTAATGAATCAGTGGTTTCGCTAAGTAGGCCAACAATTAATTAGATCTACTTCATTTATGCATACACCATTTTTAAAAAATATATCAAAGATAATAAGATATTTGATCTTACTACTTATGTATGAAGGTTACTGAAGAAATCTTTTAGGATGAAATTTTATCGGTAGATGAACTAAAGAACGGAATTTGGTAGTTATGTGTTTATATATTCAAATTGAGTCAAGAGTTTTAATGAGGGTATAACTAAACGGATATACGTGAAGGCTATTTGAGACCTCCAACTTCATAGTTGTTAGTCAAGTACTTTAACTGCTATACTACAACTCTGTAGGTGAATCACAAGATTGCGTGAATTTATTGACGAAAGAAGCCTGTGTTTTTCTATTTTCAGTGATAACGTTTTCTAGATGGTAAACAACTTGAAAAGGAACAGTTTGATTCCATACTTTTCATGTACTTCCAGTAGTGTTAGTATTTCAAAACGAATCCTTTATTTCATATTCTCCATTAGAATATCGAAATGAAATATACATAAAAAGATATTAATTGTACTTAGTTAATTTGGTGTTTTAGTTGAATTATCAGTGGTTACATGATGTCTAAGCACTCAACAATCATGGATAACATACAGGTCATTGTCATTGAGGTCTGAATACACATTTTCCCATTTGAACGCTAATTTGACTGTTTGCTATAATTTCTGCGTCATTATAATTAAGGTAAATGAATTATGTATAGGAAACGAAGAAAGCATAGATGAAGAAAGAAATACAAAAGCAGGCAGTAGAAGCCTATATATGCTAGTGTATTACCATTTCTTAGGTCAAGATTGGTTAAATATAGATATCCGATCATATTCTGAAAATAAACTAATAACATTAGATTCCATCCGTTGGTACGTTTCTGTTGAGTAACTGTCTTAAAATATGGTTGTCACCATTTCCAGCCTTCAAGTGATTAATCATCAACTGATTGTAAATCATTTGAAAAGAAAAACATGAACTCATTAAACGACTAAATAGGATAATAATGGATACTTCAACAATTATTTTATGCGAAAAGATGAACTAAGCTGGATTTTTAATCAAAAACTATATTCTGATAGCTTATTATATTAGAAATAAAGTCAACTACTCTTTGATTACGTCAGTAAACGACTGAACAGTTTGACCCTTAACTTAGGAGTACTCATTATGGGACGTAGTAACAGAATGTTCGAATTTTTTATGTAATATGTAAACTAATGATGGTTTTAAAAATCTAAAATATTTTATTATTTCCATTGACCGAAGTAAAATGATCTGACTGTGTTATATACATACTTTCTGGTTCAGATTTATATCTATTCTAAGATTGTAATTTATCGTTTTAATCGCTTATAGAGTTATGTATTACATAATACAAGATTCGAACCTTATTGAGGAAATATATCTTACACTTCACATTGTAAATGGATATTTAGCAAACCAGGCAGTCAATACTTGATTAATATATATTAGAGAAGTAGTGTTCATCAAACATCATTTATTTGTTCATACAGTTGATCTATGTAAAGTCAGTCGGACTAAGACTCATTTTCTTCTTGTACTGATAGACAGCTTGAGTGCTTCAAGGAAACAGATAGGGTTGAAATTGTCGGTAACGTTCTAATGTTCACTAATTGTATCGTACTTTCGGCCATGTTTCCATTCCCATATTAGGTTAATGCTATTGGTGATTTTTATTAATGACTTCATTTCAAGTGATTGCTGTTATCTGCAACTATCTACTGTGTACATAAAGATTGTATAATGGACCAATATGGCAGCTTAAAAAAAACACAAATATAGTAAAGTTTAGGGCTTGATATAAAAATTACAATTTGATGTTTTAAATTTATCCATTAAATAAATGGAAAGATGATCTATAGTATTAGATACGACACAATGAACACAAAAACGTGGATAAATTCAGCCATCAGATAATACTATTTATTCTTAATTTAAAACTCCCCAATAATCAGCACTCCTAAGATAACTTTAGGGATTTAACCAGTGACTGGATTTTTAACAAATTACCACATAGTCAAATCCTAAATAATGATACTTCTTCATTTGAGATTTGATTATTGAGTTTCTTATACGTTATACTATTGATTGTTTTGTTAAAATTATTTACCCAAAGTATCTAGTTGGCTTTACAGTTAATAATAAATGAAACCCTGGAGTATTAACTTATCTTTTGTTCACATAGTAGAAATCAGATGAGATTTACAGTTTAAATTCATTTGATTTATTAAAACCATTGAATTAGTGTGTAGTAGATTTCATATGTGTTTAATTGTAACTCAAGTTTGATATATCTGTGATAATATTGTCATTATTTCTATGATACAACAAAACTAAATAAACATAAACCACAAACATCTGCTCTAACCAACAATATAAATTTGAATGAAATAATTTGAATAGAATTTCACATATTCAATATGGTTTAATTAGATACATCCCAAAAACAAGATAAACCCATTAATATCAAAAGGAGTTTTATCGATATTATAGTAATTTCAATAGTTGGGATCATGAGTCAGTTGAAGCTAGACCACCTTGGAAAACTTGGAAGCACTGGACGACCATTCCGTTCTATTGTGGGACGCCTCAGTGATAGCACTGCCTAGTATATTGACTTATTCATGCAGAGGGGATGTATGGATTAGAATGAACGAACCACAATTAGAGTGCTATCATGAGCTGTGAACATTCAACTTTGGTTTATTACATCACTTTAGGTTTAGATTTAAACTGTTTGTTAACTAATTTTGCTTTTACTCTTATCATAATTGTTTATATACATAATTATAAATTATATCTAAATATCTACAGTTTGGAAAATTTTACTATTTCTTGGGAAATTTTTAAATCTCATATGAGCTTGTTGTCAACATACATACATTATTATAACACCGATTAAACCAATTGTGTATATGTGCATTAGGTAGTTGTGGGAACTTGTTGAGAGAACTTGGACGCAAGTTTCATTTTACCTAGCACTTGCCAACAAGGTAACTGATTCATTACATGTAAACCGAATCTTCTTCTTCATAGTTATATTAGTCTCAAAGACTAGTCAACATTCAGTTCTGCCTGAAGTACGTTGCACACTATGTATCTTAGTGGAAACACGTCAAACTTTTAAGCTTATTATCGTCAGTCTAAGCCTCATATGTAATATTAGCTCCCAGTTAAACTAGTTCAGTGAAGAAATGGTCCCAGCAAGTTGTTGAAATGTTTGAATCATAAAACATTTATTGAAGAGATAAATAAGAGATTCCATGTAAATCTCAATATCTTTCATTAAGGACTGAAAAAAGTTTCCCTGGAAATTTGTCGACTCATTATATTGTATGATAGCACAAAAGAAATACATAATTACTTGTATTATAACCTGACTCAATTTGAAAGCATAAGTTTCTAAGGTCTGACACGTTTACTATCATTATTGTCACTCAAATATGTAAATTAATAAACATGAACTGATTTTTTTCTGATACTAATCAGCATATGCTCACTACTAACTGGCTTCAAGAGGTATTTCCTAGAGTTCTGGTGAAATGCTGTAACTAGTGGACTTCAACCAGGTCTGTTGTGGAATAGTAACTCACTGAAGACAATGGTGGGTGTGTCGCTCAATTTCATGGATTAGTTGAAGTTAGACGTTAACACCATTGGATACCATCTCAATAGTCTAGTGGTTGAGCGCTTGCGCGCGAGACTGATAGATCCTGGGTTCGAATCTCACCGAACGAGATAGTGGATTATGCACTGCTGAGGAGTTCCACACTAGGATGAAGCGGCCATCGATTGCTTCCAGGTTCTCCAAGGTGATCTAACTTTAATGAGAGCATTAATTCAACTATTGAAATGATTTTTATTGATTGATTCTCAAGTAAACTATTCAATGATTAAAACTTATAGTGGATTGAATTTAGAAAATGAAATTGAATTATACTTTAATCAAACATTATTGATAACTTACTAATTCATTTAATTCAGTATTATTACTTAAAAATTGAAATCTTCTTTCATCATTAAATGTACAATTCAATTTTCTTAATTCATCATCAGTATCAGGATCATCAACATCATTATTTGTTACGTAACTTGAATTATTTTTATGATCCATTGATTTATCACATCTTAATGATTTACGATTTCTATTATCATTATTATTATTATATACAAAATTTGTAGATATATCATTATTTACATTATTATTATTAGATAAAAAACAATCACTAATATTTCGTACATTTGCTACTGAATTAGTTTTATTAGTAGTATTGATAGATGAGATAGCATTAGTAGTTTGTGTTATTGTATTTGTTATAGTAGTTGTTGAAATTTGATTAGTTAATGAGTGATTTGTATTATATTTCGAAGAAATAGTAGTTTTCACAGTATTACTATTATCATTCATATTGATTATATCTTCTGTACTTTTATATTTTTCATTATTTTTATTTAATTTTTCACGATTTAATTTTAATGAATTCGATTTTAATTCATTCATTTCATCTTCATCATTATGATCTCTTTCTGGTTGTTGTTGTTGTTGTTGTTGTAATTCTATTCGACGTTGAATGTATGAAATTAATTCTGTATTAAAAGTATCTAATGGAGGCGGTGAATCAGGTCTAGCTGTAGCCAATTCACATTGTTGTAATAATAAAGCCAATAAAGGATAAAGTGGATGACTACAAAAGAAAACAATATTAATGTCCAATATAGAGGAAAAATTAATTCAAGGAAACTGTACATTTAAACAATACGTTGTGAATATTATAAGATAATAATTTGAATTATATTTTCATTATTAATTAATATTAATTAAATAAACAATGACTTTGATACTAGAAACCAATAATTATGGTAGTATTAATAATAATAATAATAATCCCTTGTTTAATGGCGTAATTTTTAATGGAATAAGGAATTATCAAGACCAATTGTGTAATATTAGGACAGATTTCTGTCACAATTGATTGATCACTGGGCGATCATCAATGTCATGTGTGTCAAGTGCTTATTTAGTGCAGATCGAATGCTTTCGACCATGTGCCAAGTAACACGAAACCCGAATCCAGGGTTTCCGGTCGACTACTTCCAACCACCATCTAATCTCAACAGATTTCTGTCTATCATGGATTAAATTTTTTAAAAAATTATTTAAAGACAGATTTTCAAAATGTTTTAACTAGTCAGTATTGTCATCCATGTACAATCACAAAAGAATTACATAACGATTCAGATGTAATAACCATTTCTTTTACCATCTACTGGACCAAAGATGAATTAATTTCATGGTATTTGTTGCTCATTTTCTTTTTAAAAGATTAGGAGCGGGGGAAGAAGATATTAGCGGGGATATATACAGTTAGAGATGACAATTATTTGGTTAAGATGAATCCCAAACACGAAGGTTGATTGCAATATTTATACAGTTAAAAATAGGTGACCTATAGGTTTATGCATAGTCATTTAATACAATCAAATTCTTTGAATATTAGAATTGTATTAATGAACCTTTTTCGTCTAATTGTTATTTGAAACTATTAATAAAATCCTGATGTGTTCTAGTGATATTACCATGACAAAAATGTTTTTCCCACATAATATAATAGCTAATATATTAGCACCATATAAATGAATTATAACTCTAGATCAATAAATCTATAGAGAGAACTCTGTACAAAATAATCCTGGGATCAGATCAAAGATTTCCACGAAAGTTCAATATTTTTTATTCTAGAAACTAAAATTAATAATGCAATTCGCAATTTAAAATTTATCCCCCTCAAAAATAGATTATTACAATTGGGTCTATCTAGGAACCATTCATTTGTTGTCGAATAGCCCATTGATTTTTAATAATTCTTTAAAATAAGATTGTTTAATTATGTTAACCGAAGTTTAAATAAATCATTTCTTTAAATAAATAATTATATGTCTCTGTCTCTTGTTTCAAGTACTTCTAATCATCTTATGAAATCATGTAACATCTTCAGTGTAAGTCGAGGCGAGATTATAATTTATGGACGAACCAATCATGTATAAGATAAAAGGTCTCGGATTTTGACTCGAAATTCACTCATTCATTCGAATAAATAGAGTTTAGGCAGTATAGCTGGTGTCAGTTTGTGATGAAAACCCTAAATCTAATTTCTAACCTTAATCATCAACTGTAAATCATAATTTTAATTCCTCACACAGGTTTATAACCCTCATTTAGTTTTGGTTATTAGGTGGACACTTCCAAGGTCAGTCTGGCGTCGGAATAATAAGGTAATTAAAAATATATCAGTGTAATTTGTAATTAAATTATCAGTGAATAGAGTAATAAACAACGTTATTTATAATTGAATTTGAATTGATAACAATTATAATTTGAATGCTTTAATTACTTTTCATATTGCAGTGACTGTTGTACCGTTTGAAATACGGTTTATCGGGGATTCATTGGGGCTGCAATCATTTTCCAGCTCTGTGTGCAGTTGAGAGATCAATCCATCCACTTCCGTTGCATCTCCAAAGCATGAGTGATTTAACAGCTGTGTGCGTAATTTGACTAAAAACTCCAACTGTCTTTCAAATAGCAGCTGTACTCGATCGGAAGGGAGAGTCATTTTTTTTTATTCAGCACCGGTAATGAAAATTACTGTTTGATTAATGACCAATGTTGCTGAAGTACACTGATGACAAATCTGGATGCTGAAGGCTGACTTTGGATTGTTCTTTTTTTTACCCCGTCGCCAATTGTTAAGTTCGTTAACCTTGAGGATACTACTGATTCGACTTATTCGCCAATTGTTATGTCTCAAAGTGACAGCCGATTATATGACAGTGACTTATCGATCGGATCAAGGTTTCAGAGACTCGATAGTCTATTCTGGTCCGTTGTCCCCAACTCTGCTAACTCGATCAAGAAGTCTGGTAAGGTGTAGAAAGTGTATTCTACAGACAAACAGCAGATAACCAGTCTGGCAGATCAGATCAAGCATACAAGTCAAGCGTATTTATACAATTATTTACAATCGATATTGTCATAGGAAATTTTTAAACATTAATCAATGAGTTCATCAATTGACCTATTTGCGCATTTAATCGATAGTTCATCAATTGACTCCAATACAAATATTTAAACGTTTAATCAATAAGTTGATCGATGCGATAAAATTCAAAATATGAAATACAATATTGTGTTGTTTGTTTTAGTTTCAATATTTAGCTTATTGAACGTTAAATCTGGCCAGTAGTTGATCCTTGAATACTGGGACGGCTAGTATATAATGTATAAAACATACTTCCATCTATTATTAACTAATAGTGTTTGATAAAAATCTCAAAACAGTGACTAATATACTATGGCTTGTATTAATACGCTGTCCTTTATACTTTCCATTATGTATATCTACAGTCTAGAAGATAATACAATACTTCCATTAAGAATGATTATCTTTTGGAAATAATCTTAAATTTTAAGGTTCACAAGTTGTTATATCAATCGGTATTTGTATATTATAACTGAAACAAGTAGTGTTGAAAATAATAAATATATTTTCTGTTATAAATAACCATAGTTGGTTATCTATTAACTTTCCACCCAATGTTCAATTTATTTGAAACCATCAAGTCCAACCTTAGCACTGATACCTAGAAGTAAAGTTGAACTAATTAATTCCAAGTGTTTCATAATGCAAGTAGAAGCGATATTATTACTTCAGAGTTAAATTATTGATTGAGATCATGAATTGAGGTTAAGCGTTTGCTCATGAGACCGAAAGTCCTGGGTTCAAATTCCTTATGAGAGATCGTGGATGTGCACTGGTGAAGAGTCCCATGCTAGTACAAAACGGCCGTCCAGGTTTTCAATGGTGATTTAAAATCAATCAATTCATAATCTCAATCAAAAACTTAACAATCTTCAAAATAAGATTGTTATTTTTTCTCTCAATCAGATCACACATTTTGGTCAAATATATGATAGATCATTCTATATCGAGAAATATAAGTAAAATTAGTGCAGAAACTACATAAAATAATTTACAGACATTAAAACTGACATTGTCTAAACAAATCGGGCATCACTCTTCTGTACACTGTTAGATGACTTGATTACTTTCGATTAATACATATGTAAATTATGATTGTCATTACTTTATCATCACAGAAAGTCATGTTTCTTTGATCTACTTTTATCATGATATTATACTAATAGGATTACCAAGCATTTAAATCATTAATATTATTATTCGCTTAATTTTTTTAAAAATTTAGCTCACTCATATGCAGTTAAAGAAGAGCAAGGTAGGCACACCTTAGCTTATAACTTATATATTTAATGTACTTTGGATAAGTCACTTATGAAATTACATTTCAAACACTAGAATGATGTTTTTCATGTGTATACACAAAAACTTCTTTAGTAATTAGAACTATAAGTTGATCAAGATTCTACAGTTATAAAGATAACAATATTGTGTGAAGGATTTTGTGAATAATTTCTAATTTCTTAAGGAAAAGACGTGACCTATGAAATAAAGCGTTTAGTATAGGTATTAGCCGTAGCACTGGATGACAGGTTGGAGATATCACAAATCGACTGATATTAAAAATGCAAATCATTGGATAATAACCCAGTGGTTTAAACGTAACAGGTTCAACATGAATCGCGAAGGTCTACTGTGGGACTAACGTTATAGTCTTCGGTATTCACTAATGGAAATCTCATACTAAGAAGCTACCATAATCGTCTTCCGTAATTGTTATTGGGTTTCTGTCTTTATTTCCGTTCTACACGCCTTTGCATTTTATAGCTTTTGAAAACTGATTAATCATCTTGGGCAAGTTGTCATCCTTATTGATTGTTAATTGTATTTCAATTGAATTTTAGTTTGTTATTTTAAAGATTATTTAATTTAGACTCCATTTGAATGTAAAACATTTTAGTCATATAATTTCATACTACTTAGATAAGTGATTTAACTAATTACGTGTTAATCATATACACATATATACTGATTAAAGTGAATTAAAATTAAATAAGGTCGTTAAAAGTAACCCATTCCGAAAATAAGTTTACGTAGGAAATTAATTAAAATTGTATGCAATATTCATAATTACTTAGTTACGCCTGTTACTCCTAATGGAGCATAGGTCGCCTACCAGCATTCTCCTACCCACTCTGCCCTGGGCCTTCTTTTCTAGTTCCATCCAATTTTTCTTCATTTTTTCATATCTATCTCCATTTATCAGTGTAATGTGTTCTTTGGTCTTCCACTCCTCCCTTGGCCTTGAGGGTTCCATGTGAGGGCTTGCCCTGTGACCCAGTTGGGTGCTTTCCTCAATGTGTGTCCTATTCACTTCCAGCGCCTCCTGATTTCTTCTTCCACTGGGATCTGGTTTGTTCTCTCCCACAATAGGTTGTGGCTAATAATGTCCGGCCAACGGATCCAAAGTATTTTTCGTAGACAACTATTAATAAACACTCGTATCATCTGGATGATGGCTTTCGTAGTTCTCCAAGTTTCCGTCCCTTACAGTAGAACTGTTTCGACATTTTGTTGTAACTGATGTCTGCAAGATTAGACGCGCAGCGTATTTATCAATCGGATCAATGAAACGCAAACACACACGAACGACCTAGAGTCCCGACCGGCCCTGCTTCCCTGTCTAGCCCAGCCAGTTGAGTCTAGGACACAAGTCTCAGCCTCTGAGACTCTGTTTATATACCAGTCAAGCAGACCACATCGTACCATAAAATAGAAAACAACATTTGTACAATATTTAACAAGTGAAATAAACATTGGCCAATAGGAAATGTCCATTTAAAATTCAAGGACACCATTAGACTTAACATGATAATTATTGGTATATTTTTCCGAATATCCTAACACATTTGTATTGAAAATTCTGAAGTTGGTGTTGGTTGACAATTGTTTTGAGTTCGAGATGTTCTTCAGTTGTAAATATTCTGCTCTTGCATTGTCGATCCGCGCCTTTTTTGTGGGGCTCGTTATGTTGTCATCATTTAGATCGGATGATGTTTGTTGACCGGCTCTCCACTTTAGTGGCTCGTTGATCTGACTCCAATTAGATCGTATGAATGTTTTTTATCACCTATCCTCGTATATCATCATCGACTTAAATTGCGTTAGTCAATAACGGAATAATTCGAATAACGAGAATGGACTTTGGAATACACATATCTTATATATAGAACGAATGGAATAGAACAATGCAAAACGATGAGCAGTGGAGATGGAGAGTAAGCCAACTCCCCTTTAGTCAAGCTCCAATTAATACTTATAGTTACACAAAAGTAAGTTACAGATATGTGATGAGTAACGGGATAGAAAGTGTACACACACCTACGCACTCATATAAAACAGTCAAGATTGATAAGCGGATAAATAACAAGGTCAGAATGTGACTAAAGTAGAATGAATAGAATGAGCTGTTCGAAAGTGAGAGTAAGATATATGGGCTTAACATGATGACAGAAAATACACCTTCACATCTGCATCAGATCCATGCTAACCAGAAAAATATTCAAAACAAAACCTCACAATTTAAGTAGTTCAGTATATATAAGTAGTTTTCATCATAATCTACACAAATCTTATCAAATCGAATTAATAATTCTAAAGTAATCAGTTTAAATGAACATTACGTTTTCGATTTTTACTTATGAAGATTTTAAATGGAAAATTATATTTTCTTTAAATATTTGTATACATGCATATATGTATATGTATATTTATAAAAGAACCAATACTACAATCTGATCAACGTGTAGTTATGGGTAAGACTCTGTTGTTAATAATATGTGCACAAGCCAATGTAGATTTCCATAATTATACACTTTGAAGTTTTCTACATATGTAACTGCAAATGTTTATGTGTATATTCTTAATGGTTAGATTTGTATTAGTGTTTGTGTATTTTAGAAAATTATTAGAATTTAATTATTACAATTGACAAACCCAAACAAAGTAATTTTTTTGAATTTTAGAAGCTGAATCAGCTAGATCACAAGAAAATGAAGAAATAAAAGGTAATAATTATTTCCAATTTATGTGTAAACTTTTATTAATTAAAATGGTTAGAGTTTTTTTAGCGAGTTAGTTTTCAACGGGATGGGGTCGCTAACCTCATGCCCAATTCTCCTCCTTTACAAAGGCTTGAGACCGGCAGTAACTCTAGAAGAGCTACAGGCGGAAAATTCGTTGACACTATGGAGTTCCTGAGAAGATTGTCAACATTATCGGGAACTCATACGACTGATTACAGTGCAAAGTCGTACATGGAAGACACCTGACAGATGAATTCCAAGTAAGGACCGGAGTCAGACAAGGCTGTCTACTCTCTCCCTTCCTCTTTCTTCTGGTGGTCGACTAGATTATGAAGACCTCGACATCTGAGGGAAAACATGGAATACAATAAACAACTTAGAACCAAGTTGACGATTTGGACTTCGCAGATGACCTAGCCCTCCTAACTCATACACACGAACAGGTGCAGATAAAGACAACACATGTAACAGCAGTCTCTGCATCGGGAGGCCTCAACATACAAAAGTGGAAACCAAGGTCCTCAAATACAACACGGAGAACAGCAATCCAATCACTCATGATGTCGAAACTCTGGAAGATGTAGAATCGTTCACATACCTGAGAAGCATCATCGATGAACAAGGAGATTCAGATGCATACGTAAATATGAGGATTGGCTGGCAAAGCAAGGACCGCATTCCTACAATTGAAGAACATATGGAACTCAAAACAACTTTCAACCAATATGGAAGTGAGGATCTTCAAGACGAATGTTAAGACAGTCAGTTCTACCATACGAAGCTGAAACTTGGAGAACTATTAATAGAATCACCAAAAATGTACAAGTATTTATCAACAATTAACTACGTAAGATACTCGACATCCGTTGGACGGATACCATCAGCACCAGCGTTCTATGGGGAGGACAAGTCAGCTTCCAACTGAAGAAGAAATTGGGAAAAGACTCTGGAAGTGGATAGAATATGCATTATGCAAATCATCAAGTTGCACCACGAGGCAAGCCCTAACTTGGAATCCTGAAGGAAATCGGAAAAGAAGAAGGCCAAAGAACACATTACATCGGGGAATAGAATCAGATATAAAAAGCATGAATAACAACTGGAAGGAGCTGTAAAGGATTGCCCAGGACAGAGTTGGATGGCGAATGCTGGTGAGCGGCCTATGCTGCTTCACGAGGAGTAACAGGCGTAAGTAAGTAATTAGATGTATTTAATATAATCCATAATATTGTAATGATTGTATTATATTTACATATGTATTACAAGATGGTAATACTCCACTTGATAGTAAGTTATTTACTATTTGAAGTGAAGTTATAAAACTTAAATTAGTTTGAATATTGACACTGTTATTGCAACATATTTGAATTGATTTGTATAAAGGAATCTTTTATGCGCTTTTTTTCATGTACATACATTTTGAATTCTTTATTTAAGTTTGAAGACACTCTTTACTCTTACAGATATTCATATAGATTTTTCTTTTTAACAAACAGTCAATATTCACAGGGGAAGTGTAAATGAGAAATGGTTGTTCTGATTCGACTTTCTATAGAATTATAATTTGTTAATCATCATAACTCTCGTAACTATCGGTCTCTATAGATTCTTTATCTTTTTAAATTATTTGTTTGTTAGCCGATGTTAGTTGTTTGTCCCTGGAAATTTTCAGTATTTTCACCTATCCACTACTTGTTACAGCTGTTGCTTAAACTATTGCAAAGTTGCTTTTATCAAACCAAACACATCTTTATAAGATAAGATTATGGTCCTGGATTTCACTGCTAGCCACGATTATTTTAGCTTATAGTGCTTGTGACTGATGGCCATATTGAGGCGATTCGTACAGAATGCATTATACAACTATCTTACAACCAATTTGTATTATGGTTCATTTTGGTTAAGCTCTTTCATTAACTTACTTAACAAACGATGCTGTTTGAATGGTAACAATTCCCATATTTTTGTACTGTTATGACCACTAGATCACATGACAGACTAGCTAAAATATTGATCGCTTAAGTATTACTCAGTGATTCATCCGCCTCCCCATGTATATATATACTCAAGTCATACTATTAGTCGTTGCTTTGCTTTGCTTCATCCTTGTGCATTTTGACTATAAATTTGCCTATGTAATTGCTCGTATATACTTGTTCGCCTTTCCGCTTCAAATTCGTTCCATGTCCTTATAGCTTTGTGGCATGCGCTATCACCTAATAAATTGTAGTTACCGCGTTTTATTGCCTTCTGATTTTAATCATCGTTGAGATTTATATTATAACGGTTATCGGGCTGATCGATTAACGAAGCAAAGCCACTACAGCACATATGTCAATTAGAGACTGATCAATTGTAGTCTTAAACATCAATGGAAAGTTTCAGTTAACCAATACAAAAATGAATAAAACACGTTTTCATTCTACAAGATAACTAAGACACATTTCTAATGCCTGTTGACTAACGAATAACCATCAGAATCAAAACAAACCAATTTAACATTGCCTGTTAAGTATCAACCATCATAATGCTGTTACATATATACATATTGATATAATTTTTTTTGTCCTAGGAAATTAGACTTGAGTAAATTGTTACTAAATCCATAAAATCACTCAATCTCATAGTTTTGATCTCTTAGATACCCAGTTACAAAGCAGCTGATTATTTGCAAATAATGGTCGTTTTCTGTTATTAACTAGATCTGATTACCACATGATTTCATTTTTCTATAGAATCTAATCATTCGAGTTGGGAACAACATTTTTTTGACCATAGTTTTAACTTGTATTGATACATGAAAAGATAAACAATAATTCGATAATTTGATTTATGATTTTATTATTTGATGGTGAACGACTCACTTTTAAAAATTAAAGAAAACTTGATTTTTTTTCCTGGCTAATTTATTTAGATGAGGAAAATATGTTAAATACACCGAAAGTAAATGATGAAGAAAATATACAATCGGAGAGGCAACAATTTACAAACTCTGATGATAAAATACAACATGAAGAAAATGAATTAACTGAAATCACTACTGATACAATGCCAATAGGAGAAAGTGTAGAAAAAAATGAAACAAGTACTTCTAGTTCATCAGGTAAGAAATAAGTAAGCAATAGTTTTTGAATATAACGAACGGTAATGATTTATCTTTATCTTTATAAAAACTTATAGTTAATCAAGTTATTTAATGTTATGAAATATTGAATCTTATATTTGTATTGTTTTGGATGTTAAAATTAGAGTAGAATATTAACTGTCGATATTTGTACATTTATCATTAAATGAAGGTCGAAATCTTTTCATTATTAAACTAAACTTCTGTTAGGGGCGTTAGATCCCCAGAACTCACTTGAGAAAGGATCTGATTTTGTAATTTTATTTAGAAAATTTGAATTTCTTTGTTTTCACGCCAAAGGCGCTCTTGTCACCTTCATGTCGTATTTCCCATTGAGAAATATCGTAAATGCTATTGGTCCGTTGCGTCTTTTAGTATGCTATTTAGTAACTCTTCCCAAGGACGGTTTTGTATTGTATATATACGTTTTGAATTGTGTTTGTTGTTATCGCTCAATTCTGGCTGTTTGCGGAATATACTTCCCCATTACAAGCTTGAACTTCTCTCTCTAGTTAGCAGGGCTGGGACGCATCAATAGCTAGCTTGTTGGTCTTTGGTCACCGAGTCTTGTTTCTCGTTCGCAGATTAAGTGAACTCGTGATAGGTGAGGCCTTAAGTTCCTGGGTTCGGTCTCCGGTAGAGTCGTGGACGTTCATTACCAAGGAGTCTCATGCTAACACAAAACAGCTATTCAGTGTTGTCTGGTCTCAGTAACACTCAGTAATTCCCATAAAATTCTTATACTGATAGTTAGCAGTTATTTATGGGTGGTGAGCAAGAAACTTTACATATGGTCTTTTTGATAATTGACATTAATCAGTAAAGTGTGCCTGGTGCATCCCTTGAGATTCTAACTCGCGTTACAGACAAAGAAGTTACCATTGGGATATTTATGTTAAGACTAACCTACTATAATACTGAGGTGTTTATACTGATTGGTAACCAATGTTGTCTTTATTTAGTCCTCACTATGGTTTCCAGAAATGTCGAATTACTCATTTAAATAATTAGTAATGCACTCACTGCTATCTAATTTCTAGACCCACGAGGCCTAGTTATGTGAGGAATGAGAAAAATATCACCAAATGAATCAGACAACAAATTAATTCAGTGAAAGGTCAGACAAATTCACCTTGATCAAAAATAAATTGACATAAACATTATTCAGACGTATTGTGATATTGATTGTACTATTCTGCATTGTTTCCTTTGTACTATTTAAACTTGTGTTAATTGAATTCGGTTATTCATTTACTCTGAAGAAATGGCTTACATTCAGTCACAAAACATTGGCAAGAATATGTTTATTACTAACTTTCTGTAGATACATGTATAATCAAATAAATGTCAAATAAGCATAATTTAACGCGATATCATTTGAGAATATATTTACTGAAAAAAACATAATGTTTCTTGGAATGGGCATCTCTTTATTGTAATATTAGTAGAACAATATAAATTATATGGAATGGACCATTATTGTACTGATAGATTTTCTTCTTTGAGAGATATCTTTCCGATAAACAAAAAGGGATCATTCATTAATGAATGTCTATTTTGTCATATTGTGTACAAAACCTAAATCTTCTTCATTAGCAATAGAAAGTTGTAAATTGAAGGGTTGTATTGTTTTGATGCTGATCCGAAATCTATAATCCTTGTGTTTTTGATACGGTTGAACTTAAAGGTTGGGTTCGCAAAATTCAGGGTAAGTGAAACTGTCAACTCATATCATTTTTTATTACAAGATCTATAAACTAACAAGTTATAAAACACTTCACAATTATATTATTCCGCTCAAACACTTGTTTGTATCACAACACTCGATTAAAGTCTTCCATTTGATATACACATTTATGTCAACATTCCTGCATGAAATATGTTTTATACTACAAACTGGATTTTGTAATTTCATTACGAAATGTGAAAATTTTTCACAAAATTTTTAATCACCTATTTTATAAACTCTTGTGATGATGTGCACCACACATTTGTTACACGTTATGCTTTCTTCTATACTTTTGTTATGTATTTCATTATTGTACTAAGATAAACAACACCGACAATTAAGTTTCTTCACTGTTGTACATTTTTTCAAGCACAATTAGTGGGTATGTAAGTATCTGATGTTTGTTTACGCCTAATGAATTGAATAAATTAATGATTTGAGATTATTTCACGTGTAATCACTCGGTTTACTAAAAAAATATATACCCCAAGTCTAAACTATTTGATAAATTCATTTTAATTCTAAACCTAACAACTTTTTAACAATAACCTTGTCATTTTATTATCTGATTTCTGAAGAAAACTATTCATGGTTTGACCAATAAAAGTAGTGTAGTTACAAACAAAAAATCAGTAAAGCATTCTACAATCGCATTTCCATATTTACTGACTACTTTAATTTATAATACTCAATGTCTTTTCTGTCAAATTAGTTTATTAAGATTCGAATCTTCGAATGAACATTCCTTACCTCTTCTATTTCTATTCTATTTAAAAACGAGCTTTTACTTAATCTACAATTAAATGAAGATTGGATGTAAACCTATTGTTATATTGTTATAGGTCAAGGATAACTAATCAATTATTTAATGTTCTAAATAGTCCTGAATTTACTCAGTCAATGGATGAAATAAACAGTAAAATGAAAGTTTGCCACCTATATGACAAATACACTACTTGTTTTTAAAATTGATAAATATAATAATATACTACCAAAATCTAGTTTTGACTAGTTAATAATTACCTGAACTCCATCCGGTGCTGATGAGTGGCCTATGATCCTCCACAAGGGGTAACCGGCGTAAGTAAGTAGTAATCACCTGAAGTTGATACCATTCTTATCCAGTCACTAATTACTAACTGTTGAATGTATGCATGTTTGTCGCAGTTTAAACTGTTAAATTCTAAAATGTAATAACTCATAAGTTAGTGCTAAGATTTCATATTTGCTAATTAGTTGTTTGTATTAAATCTTATGTTAATTTTATCTTACAGATACATAAATACTGAATCAATGGGAAAGATTAGAATGATTTTGTATACCTTTTTTATAAAAGATCAAACGTACTACAATTCAATCGTTATTTATTATAATAAAGATTTTTTCAAATGATTGTAGTTTGTTTTGATGAGTTAAGCACAGAGTGCTATTATTGTTCTAGTGTTTTGCTGAAAGAAAATATTTTTAGTTTCATCGCTTAGCCCATTTGTCATATTGTGTCTCATAAGTTTTTTACTCTTTGTAAACTACTAAGTTTTGATAGTCAATTTTCAAATATTTATTGTTCAATAAACTTCATCTTTTAAATAACGACATACAGTTTGGACCATTGTATGGAGTGGAATCATTTGTTGATTTTAATTGAGAACAGTCGATTAAATATTTTACAATCAAAGAATTTTGTGCGAATTAGTGTGTTCACTACTTACTCAAGTCCCAAACATATTTCTTACTTTACTAACTTCTGTTACTTCTATTGGAGCATAGACCTCCCACTATCATGATGAATCCAATTCTATCCTGCACAATCCTTTCTAGTTGTTTTCAGTTGCTATTCATCATTTTGATATCTGCTTCGAATTTTCGACGCAGTGTGTGCTTTGATCTTCCTTTTTCCGTTTACATTCAGGATTCCAAATTAGTACTCGCCTCATGGTGCAGTTTGATTATTTTCACAATGTATGTCCTATCAGCAACAGCCTTCTGTGGGAGAGAACAAACCAGCTTTCATCTGAGGAGGAAATTAGGAAAAGACGATGGGAGTGGATAGAATATGCATTACGCAAATCGTCAAACTGCATGACGAGGCAAGCCCTAACTTGGAATCCTGAAGGAAATCGGAAAAGATGAAGGCCAAAGAACACATTACGTCGGGGAATAGAATCAGATATAAAAAGCATGAATAACAACTGGAAGGAGCTGTAAAGGATTGCCCAGGACAGGGTTGGATGGCGAATGCTGGTGAGCGGCCTATGCTGCTTCACGAGGAGTAACAGGCGTAAGTAAGTAAGCAATATCTTATCCACTTTCAGCGTCTTTCCTTAATTTCCTCTTTATCTGAAAGCTGGTTTGTTCTCTCCCACAGTAGGCTGTTGCTGATGGTATCCGGTCAACGGACACTCAGCATCTTACATAGACGATTGTTCATAAATACTTGTTCTGTTTTGATGACGGTTGTGGCATTTTTCGAAGTCTCAGCTTCGTACAATAGAACTGTATTGACGTTCGTATTGAAGATTCTAAATTCGATGTCGGTTGACAGACAGTTGTTTTGAGTTTCATGTTCTTCAGTAGTGAGAATGTAGACCTTGCTTCCCAGGTACATTTCAAATTTACAACCTCATCTAAATCTTCATCAAGTGTGATTAAGTTGGTGTTCCATGTGTTATATTTTTGGATCTTGCTTTTACCCAAGTGTATGTTGAGGCCCACTGCTGTAATGGCCGCTACTACGCTGGTTGTCATGACTTGAACTTGTTGGTGTGTATGGGATAGAAGGACTTAATCATCTGTGAAGTTGCATCCAAATTGTCCGTTGTATTCCGTACTTTCCTCAGATGTGGAGGTCTTCATAATCCAATCAACCACCAGAAGAAAGAGGAAGAGAGAAAGTAATCAGCCTTGTCTGACTTTGGTACACACTTGGAGTGCATCTATCAGCTGTTCTCCACGCACGACATTGCAGTGTAGTCCGTCGTATGAATTCCGGATGATAATGACGATCTGCTCAGATGTACCAGAGTGTTGAAGTAGACTTCACAAGATTCTTTAATCCATGCTGTCAAATGCTCTCATAGTCAGTGAAGTTGATGTGTAGTGACGAATTCCATTCAACTGATTGTTCAAAGATTATACGTAGTGTCGTGATTTAGTTTGTGCACGACCGATCATTACGGAATCTAATTTGTTTATCTCCAAGTTGGGCGTCTACTGAATCTTTCATCCAGCTTGATAACACTGTTGAAAACTTTTCCTGGCACCGATAGTAGTGTGATGCCTCTGTAGTCCTCATACTTGCCAAGACCTTTCTTTATTATCTTAACGAGGTGTCCTTCCTTCCAGTTTGTCGGCAGTTGATCACTCTTTTGAATCTTTCTGAATTGGATGTTGGGCATATTTGAAGTTACTTCTATGTGTGACTTCGGTGCTTCAGTTGGTATTTTGTCTGGTGCTTCTGCTTTCCCACTCTTGATTTGTCTAACAGCCATCCTGATTTCTTCGATCGTTGGTGGAGTGACAGTAATATGAGTGTTTGTGTATACTGGCTCGGTGTCTGGTGGGTTCAGTGGGGTCGATCCATTCAATAGTTCTTCAAAGTGTTCTACTAACATGTTCGTCTGTTCTTGAATCTCAGTGACTGCTTTGCCTTATTTGTCCTTGACTGGTTGCTCTGGTTCACCATATTTCCCTGCTAGTTCCTTCTTCGTGTCACACATTTGTCTCATGTTTCGTACTGCAGTTTTTTCCGCTGTCGGTGCTAGCTCGTCCACACTTTTCCACTTGTCGGCCCTAATGCTCTTCACTACTTGCTTGTTTACTTCTGTGTATTCAGCTTGGGCCTTGAATTTATCTGTTCACGTTCAACTGTTGTTCATTGCTGTCTTCTTGTTCTTCCTTTCTTGAATCTTGACCACGGTTTCGACAGAGATCCATTCCTTATGATGATGCTTCTTATGACCCATTACCTCGTGACACGAAGTTAGCGCTTCTCTGGTCCATTTCCAGTTCCTTCTTCTTTGAGTAGATCTTGTAATGCTTGGAACCTGTTTTTATGAGCTATCTTGAATTCGTTGAGTTTGTTAGTATCTCGTAAGAAGGCTGTATTGAACCTTTTGTAATAACGATTTTTAATTAGCACAGGCTGTAAGCGGCTGACAAGATCCAGACGAAACAAAATGAATTCATTCATTTGGTGTCGTTTGCTTGTATCTTCCTATTAATGTATAGGACTGCAATTGATCATTCTCTTGTTGGCATATATACATCCTTTATGGATTGCCTCGACATTGCCTTAAGTCACAAGCTTTATAAGCAAAGATGGATAGTGGCTAACAGTGGAATCCAGGACCGCGTTCCGTCTCACTTGAGACTCTTCGGCTGAATGTACCTGCATCTCGCAGTTGGTGTTTACTCTAGGAATCGAACCCGGTACCGTTCTCTTCAAACGCCACCGCATTGTCTACTTAGCTACTGACTCAAACCCATACTGATGATAGTCATGTACTCACTAGTGAATAGCTTTGAGATGGATTTCCTGGAGTTCTGTTGAGAAGCTGTGAACAGTGGAGTCCAATACATGTTCACTAAAGACAGTTATCCACCTCAGATAATGGATGAATGAATTAATTGTTTAGAACATGAAAGTGTAATTCAAATGAAGTAGTTTTTATGAGTGATAACGGTTTAGGAATATTGAAGATAATTTCATTATGCATTCAGGTAAGAATTTATGAAAACTATAGGAAGATGGAAAATATTTTGAGATGAACTCAATAAGACGTAATATTTAAATGAAAAATTAGCAAGAGAATTAGAGATTAACCACAGAAATTTTGAAATACAAAGGTCGGGTTGTAGCCATCTATGCTTCTTTTTAATTCATGGGGAGAATCAATTATAAGAAAACACCTATTCATACCTCAGTTTTTTTGAAGAACTAAAGGTCGGTCTCATAAATAAGTTTTTTTTAATGACAGTCATAGTTGACTTCAAATGATTCAGAGGAAAATTTGATGGTTAGTATTTTTACAAGTATAAATAAACCGTGATAATGAAATGGAGATCATGACCCATTAGATAATAAGCTGTCTAAAAAATTCGACGAATCTCTACTTCTAAAGCCTGTGGTTTAAAAGAAGCATACATAACGTAATCCAGTTGATCTAGTGATGCTAGTTTGATGTTGGTTACTATTGAAAAACTAAACATTCAAATACTTCTCTACTTTCAACCAATACATGGCTATCTCTGTTAATATGCTTTCTTGATCATATTAAATAATTTTCATAACAAACTTTTGGACGCAGAATCATCAACAATCTAATAGCCAGTCCCTATCGTGGACCTATATCATCTAGAAAATTATTGAAAACCACTGAGGATTTGTTTCGCCCTAATTTATAGCTTCTCAACAACGCGTATTTTTAATCCTGTATAAATTGTGCTTGTGGGAATTAGCTTCTCCAAATGATCTTAGTTCATCACTAGAACCGTTTTTATAATAAATAAATCCCCACAAACATCAAATTGAATGGTGTTTTTATGTTTTGTTTTCTTAAAGTAGTTTCTGGATTAGTCATAAAGTTAATGCACCGATTTAAATATGCATACGGAATTAGTTATATTGATATTTATATTATTGAATACAGTATCTTCATTAGTTTCTTATTTGTCCGTTTAAACCATCTTTTAATGAAATTAGCATCTATAAAGCCCTTTAGATAATAACAGAAAAAGAATATTATGAATTTCATTACTAATGTAATTTAGTTTCTATAATGAAACTTTACTGAAATAAGCATATAGTAAAATAATCCATAACTGATATTCATCAAAATTAACAATATACAGTTTTTACCACTGTAGATTCATTAACAAGTTAACGTCAATACTGATCATCTCTTAGTGAATACACTGAATTCATAGTTATATACTCTTCATTGTTTAAATGTTCTTCTAAGCCAATTTGTGAATATTTCAAAGATAATAATATACGACATTTTATGCAGATATTTCCAAGATCCAGCTGACATATACTACATGCATGTACATTTTCAGAATATTGAGAAGCATTCTCTATCGGCTTTTGTTTTTTTGATGAATAACATCCTTTACTGCACCAAAAACATGTAATACGTTTGATACTAAGTCCTGCTAAAACATGCTTCGTTTTTGGTTTATTTGTAAAACAACGACCATGTTTATCAGTAGTGTCTCCCGATGTATATTTGAAGTCATTAAAAAGTTTACGATTATTTCGTATATGAGCGCGTAACCATGAAGCCCGCTGATTTGATCTTTCTGGATAATACCAAATCATTATTATATGACGCAATCTCATAATATATACCTGGTACATAAAAGTAATGTATATAAATTACATAATTACAGTATGATTATAGTCAGTATAATAATAATGGCTGAACATTGTAACCAACCGGCTTATTAATAATTCAGTCTGCTGGGTATATGAATTTCATGACGAGAAACTCTGTCTCTTTCTTTTAAGTTCCACAATAGTGAATGATTATGTCTTTTAGGTCTACTCATCATACATGACAAAATTGAGCTATTTAAAAGACATTTATTTAGAAAATCTATTATATATACAAATAAATAAATCCCTTTTAAAAATTACAACCCAGTATTTGTTTTCAATCTATCCACTACTATCAAAAACTATTTATTGTTGTCGTTTGTTTAGTAGTATATAGTGATAATTCGTTAAGGTGATAGCTGAATGGTGAACTTACTTATCAGTTATCATTTAGACCCTTAAACTTTGTAAATATGATTGGAATGTAGATCATATACGACGTGTTTAAAGCTATATTGGAATTATCAATCAAATAAGAATAGAGCTGTCCAGCTAATTTATTCTAAAAAGTAATTTCTCCAAGTTCTAGCTATGCATAGTCTTACATAAGACTTATAACATAATAAAAAAGGATAATTAATTGTCTTCTTTTTATTTATATTTCTTACTTGCGCGGGCTATCTACAATCCGAAAATTCTGTTTAATTCTCAATGATTTAAGTTTTCGAAACCTGGTGATTATTGTCTTATTTACTTGCGCCTGTTGCCCTTTTGTCGAGGAGTATGAGCAGTAATACTCTTAAAATAAAATTCACTTACACTGAACTTTATCTACTCTACAAAAAATCACTTGTTCAATATATTTGTCAAATCTGATATAAATGAAGCGAAATCGCAAAGAATAATGTATGGAATATTATTATCAGTATTGGGTTGTAGAGCCTATTAAGTTTTTGATTAAGATCATAAACCGATTGATGTTAAACCACCATTGAAAATCTGGAAGCACTGCATAGCCGTTTCGTCCTATTGTGGGACTCCTTAGCGGTGTACATCCATGATCCTGCTCACAGGATCCAAACCTAGAACCTTCGGTCTCATGCTTAACCTCTAGACCACTGAGTTGGCCGACATCCAACGCTGTCAATATCTAACCTCAACCAATCCACAAAATTGCGCAACCGTCTTCCATTGTACTGATCTAGATACCTTTCTCTACCTGATATGGATTAGCTCCAATGGTTCACAGACTATATTTTCATTGAGAAATCTTACAATTGAATTATTACGATAAGTTAAGTCGTTACACAAACATTTACATATTTTAATGTGAATCATACTTACTTCAATTAATTGGCTTATAATTGCTAGAACTAATAATGTTATAACGATTATATGATTATTGAAATCCTGTGAACTTAATATTGGGTGACAGACTGTAACATCATTATTAATTAATGTATCTTTTGAGTGAATTAGTAAATCGAGTATATTTCTTACAATATTTGCATAAAATGTACCACTAACAATAATTGATTGAGATGGAATTTTATTGAATATTGCAGAAGTGAGATTTAAATTATCATCCCTTTTTTGAGAATATCTTGTTCTAGACTGAATTAAATCATTTGAAATTAAAGAGGTTAAAGAAAGTAAAGAATTGTGTATAATATGAATAAGTAATATGATTATAATAATTAAAACTATCCATACATTAAACAATGTGTTTGAACATTTCATTTTATTCTTTTCATTGTGACTCCAACTGAAACTAGTTAATAATTTATAATGTTTCGATTCATTATGTGTAAGTGGAAACGTTGAAGGAATTCCTTGTTGAATTGCTTGTTTCTCCTGAATATTCAAAAAAAAACGTATGTCATTTCATGGATAAATAGTCTTAATCTATATTCGTAAAATAGCACAAATACATATACATATATGAAAACTTGACTAGTGTTTACTACTTTTTCATATATAAAAGTGAATAATGTTTGGGTGAATGTCAGTCAGCTATAATCTCTATGTGACACATTTTATTCGGAAAGAATAAATTTTCTAACATTTAGCAATTCTAAAGCCTGACTGAATATCTTGCATTACCTATAGTTGTACCCATACGTTAAGTATATAGTAGATTTGCATAAAGTCTTACAACTTATTGAGTAAATATATTTTCTTTAATGTCTAAAACTCTTTAGTAGTTTCCGGTACATCCAATAAATTGTCTCTATTCGTCTGGAATCTATTTTAAAATAGCAGTAAATAAGAATATTATCGAAGCATAAAAAGTGGTATGACTGGAGAATTACTTTTAACATTCGAAGATTCATCACTAATGGGTGAGTGACAAAAGTGACTACAAAACAGAATCGTATCAGTGAACAGTGGCACGGTTAGATTTTCTTAATATTCATGAACTCTTAACAAATTTATCTGTATTACACATTACCTTCACATCACATACATTCATCTTTGTTATATTAATTGATAATCTCACTTTCTTGTTATTAAGTTAATCACCACTTGTGTGTATCAGTTTTTACACATGGCTGCTAGAATTTAGAATATTTACTACATAGTTATTGGGGAACAATAATATCAATGTGGAAATGATTCAAGCAGTGTCAAGACTGAGTAAGCATACAGTACAAAAATCAAATCTCTCAATCTACTTAGCTGAACGCAGAGTACACACAAAGTAAGTATATCTCTGGAAAAATGAATTCATTTGACTAACCAAACTTCAAAATACCACAGAATAACGAAAGGTATTAAGACGATGAATATGAACTAACTAGGATTAAATAAATATAGACTAACAAGATGAAAGATGTGACACATCCGAACCAATGTAATCTATTTTATTCTATGTCATCTAAAGTCCATCATCACTTGTTTTTAACAACTGGGCGCCTACAAAAACTTGTATCTGCATTACTACAAAAGGACATAATTAATAACTACTTTTACACATATTAGAATCGGGTTGTCTGTCTACTCTTGATTTTTCTCTCACTACTTCGTCTTGAAACCCGCTGATCAATACCACGTGCCTAGTCACCAATCAGAATCCTAATTTTAATTTGGCCTATTATTTACTTTATGGCTTAATGTTTCTGACTTGGCCAATTGCAAACCCGATCTGGATAATTTACTTTGTGTCAATGACTACGATCTTGCTGGTTCACCATTCGCTAGCTCCTCTCTATATCTAGCCTTGAGTTCAGAAGTAACAACCAGCCTTTATGATATTTATATTTTAAACAGACATAGTTTATATACAGACAAACTAGACAGCATGAAATATAACAATGTTTCATGAACAAGCAGGAAGTGCCTAGGAATATATATATATATAGTATTCTAATTACAAAATGTTATAATTCCCTCTAATTACAGCTCCGCTGTTCTAATTGCTTAGTAATTTTAGACACCAATTCACTCGGTAAGTCCCTAAATCAGAACACGATTGAACAGGAATGAAATTATATTCCACATAACAAGGTTAGATGGAAGTAAGAAGAATAATGGGAAAAACGTTAGTATATTTATAGTTTTTACATAAGAAGATTCTATAGTGTTCTCCGAGTATCGACTAGCACTGATTGTTTAAGAATTCACCAATCAAAGTGCACCAACGCAATCGTGTATTGAGCATGCTTTAATCTAATCTATGTCCCGCTAACACAAAGTGATTATACAACGAAATTATAATGAATAATAATTCGAGAAACCGGTTTCAACCTTTACAATATTTGTTCTGTTCTAACTTTTACCAGATTAATGAATACTACATGCTAAAACTGAAGCCTTAATACAACCAATCTAATGATAACAAACATCTTACTGAACAATCTTCAACACTGTGGCATAGATACCAATCATAATCACATTTATAAATATTTTCATGAGTAAATCAATGATAAAATGATTAGTAACTAAAATCAACCTGATGTTTTTTTTGTTTTAATTATAAAATATCAAATTACCTGCTGAATATATTCTGAAGTTATATAACTATTCTCAAATGTTATTTTACTCAACCATAAATTTCTAAATACAATTGCTTTTATTAATAATTGTGTCATAGTAACCAATGACCATAAAAATAAAAACCATGAAATAGATAATTTCATGACTTCAATATCATTCATAAAACTACTAATTTGTTTGAAATCAGTAATTTCATTATACATTTTATAAATCATTTGTTGAAATTCATTAGAATTCATCATTATTGTTGTTATATTATCTTGTCCAATAGTATTGAATATCTTTTCTATTTTATCATTTAAATCCTTTTTCAATGTAATATTTAAATGATTATAATTATCACATTCATTAGTAGATAGTTGTATTGAATTACATAGATTATTTTTATAAAATATTATGTAATCACATGAATTATTCATGGTATTCAATTCATTCATACATAACAAATATGCTTTATTTAAAAAATTTCGACATAAATTATAAACCTCATCAGTATTTTTACATGAATTATGTATAGATTCAATCCATATATTATTATTATTTATGATTTGAATTAATTTTAATGTAAATAAATGAATATTCAATAATATTTGACGTATATTATATAACATAGAATTATATTCATTTATTAAATGTTCAATTGAAATCTTTACTATATTCAATAATAAATGATTTAATTTGTTTAAATTAATTACATTGAAATAAGTAACACAATGAAATAAACATTTTAATATTTCAAAATGATTTAAAATATTTAAAATGAATTCGAAAATAATAATATAAGTAGCAAACATTAATAATAACCATCTTATATAATATGTAATTGAATAAGATAATATCAATAATGTAATACATTGAACATTGAATGAAAAATTCAATATTAAAAATATGATCATATAAATACTGAATAATACTGATATATATAAATTATAATCTGATATATGAATCAATAAATAATCAATGATAATAATTATTATTATAGTCATTATTAATTGATATAAACAATGATAAAAGATTTTTAATAAATTATTATTGTTATTGAATTTAATTAATAAATAATTATAATAATAATTCCATTTTTTATATTTTAATAAAATACAAAATTTATTATAAATGTTGAGATATAAATCAATAAAGTAATGAAATGGTATACAAAAAATAAATAATTTTTGTAAATTATTTAATTGTTTATATTTATTATATTTCTGTTGATTAATATAATCGATATTTTCTATTGTATTCAATTCCATTGATGTTGAAGATGATACAGGAAGATTGATCAATTGATGTGTATTGTCTTGTTGTTTATTTATTATTTTAATGATTGTATTATTATTACTATTATTACGAGAATATATATTATTATATTCATATTCTGGTTTATATGTTTTATCAGATTGTAAAATTATTCTATCATATTCAATTTGTTCTTTATTTGTCAAATATGATTTTAAAGTAGTCATAATTCATTGAATCTAATTATTTGTTAGTTATGAATGTATTAAGTAAAATATATAAGTAACATTTAAAAAAATTGATGAATGTATATGTTATTGAAAATCGATTATCGATTCAATCAATATTGGGTCACATGATCAGGCTGTTATATAGTAATAACAATAGTGATAATAATAATGCGGTATTGTAATCTCTACACTGAAGAGTTACTTATATTTTTTTTAGCAAATGGAATACATCCATTAAGGAATTAAATAAGAAAAATTAGTTCAGTGAAGAGTTCTCTTTTTCCGGCGAATTCATTTTTAAAGCTGTACAATCGTAAATATATATAGTTACTTAACAGGATGATAATAATACTGATAATAAACTTCTGGTAGACATGATGAGAGTGAGGTAAAATGAACAAAGGTAATAAAAAAGTTTTTTTATTTAACCTCACTGTCACCATGCCTAACAGAAGTTTATTGTCAGTATTATTATCATCCTGTTAAGTAACTATATATATTTGCGATTGTACAGCTTTAAAAATGAATTCGCCGGAAAAAGAGAACTCTTCACTGAACTAATCTTTCTTATTTATTTATTTATTTATATAATACAATAGTATGTTTGAAATGTTAAGTTGAAAAAAAAACCAAAGATGGTTTCAATTTCAAAAGTTGAAATTTATGAAAATGTTATCATTTTGAAATAAGAAAACTTTGTATTATTATACATCAACGTTAAGAAGCATATAATTAAAGTAAAAATAAATTTCAACAATGAATAGAAAATTCTTATTATAATTTTTGAGTCTATATCGGTTACAATATACACATGCTACGTTAGATCTTTATTCTAACTAATATGGAATTGGAAAGAGTGATAGTTGTTAGAAAGGTTTGGTCCCGAAAACTGTACACACATTATACGTTTATAAATATTTTAACAATCCAGATAAAGATATGTGAGTAGAGATCTTGGCAACATGAATAATTAATTTGCATGAAGAGCAAGACTAGTTTGAGCAACTTACCTACCAGTGGCATTCAGTCGTGCGATCTCTTCGATGTTTGTAACATATATCATATTTGTACTCATCCAGTCTATCAATGCCAGATGCGCTTTTGCGTAATTTCGAGTTCATTTACACTCTGAAACCTATGTAGGAACCCTGATTAACCTTAATAAATCAGATACATAGTACATTTTATTTTTATGCAGCACAAGATTTGTTCTTAGTCAAAACAGCTGACAGATGAATTCCAAGTAAGGACCGGAGTCAAACAAGGCTGTCTACTCTCTCCCTTCCTCTTTCTTCTGCTGGTCGACTGGATTATGAAGACCTCAACATCTGAGGGAAAACATGGAATACAATAAAAAACTTAGAACCGATTTGACGATTTGGACTTCACAGATGACCTAGCCCTCCTATCTCATACACACGAACAAATGCAGATGAAGACAACTCGTGTAGCAGCAGCCTTGGCATCAGTAGGTCTCAACATACACAAGGGGAAAACCAAGGTCCTCAAATACAACACAGAGAACAGCAATCCAGTCACTCTTGATGGCGAAATTCTGGAAGATGTAGAATCGTTCACATACCTGAGAAGCATCATCGATGAACAAGGAGGTTCAGATGCAGACGTAAATGTGAGGATTGGCTGGCAAACAAGGACCGCACTTCTACAATTGAAGAACATATGGAACTCAAAACAACTTTCAACCAATATAGAAGTGAGGATCTTCAAGACGAATGTTAAGACAGTCAGTTCTACCATACGGAGCTGAAACTTGGAGAACTATTAATAGAATCACCAAAAATGTACAAGTATTTATCAACAATTAACTACGTAAGATACTCGATATCCGTTGGCCGGATACTATCAGCACCAGCGTTCTGTAGGAGAGAACAAACTAGCTTTCATCTGAGGAGGAAATTAGGGAAGGACGATGGAAATTGATAGAATATACATTACGTAAATCATCAAGCTGCATCACGAGGCAAGCCCTAACTTGAGATCCTGAAGGGCAGCGGAAAAGAGGAAGGCCAAAGAACACATTACATCGGGAAATAGAATCGGATATGAAAAGGATGAATAACAACTGGAAAGGGTTGGAAAGGATTGCCCAGGACAGGGTTGGATGGCGAATGCTGATGAGCGTGTTATGTTTCGTTATTGCTTGAATGCGATTACTGATGCGTCTTACTCGAACGAACGAAGGATCAATGATTCAGCGACTCGATACACTATTCTGGTCCGTTGTCCCCAACTCTGCTAACTCGATCAAAAAGTCTGGGTAAGGTGTAGAAAGTGTATTCTACAGACAAACAGCAGATAACAAGTCAGGCAGGCAGATCAGATCAAGCATACAAGTCAAGCGTATTTATACAATTATTTACAATCGATATTGTCATAGGAAGATTTTTGAACATTAATCAACAATTGACTGCTATTTGAACATTTAATCGATAGTTCATCAATTGACCTATTTGTACATTTAATCGATAGTTCATCAATTGACCTATCTGCACATTTAATCGATAAGTTACAAAATTTGAGTTTTGGGGATCTATCGTCCCCAACAGAGCGGCCTATGCTGCTTCACGAGGAGTAACAGGCGTCATTAAGTAAAACCGTTTAGTGTGCTCCGTAAACTTATTAGTCATTTAGAATTAAAAGAACTGACCATCACTAATAATTATTGAACAACCAAATGATATCAAAATATTCTGCCGACGTCTGTCGTCTATAATATACAAAGTTTTAGTAAATGACGTGGGACATAAAAAATAGTGATTGATGTTACGATCACACATCTCACTGAAAAACCAATGTACTTTATATAGGGTCCTATGGGGCATTTAATGTGTATTATGAAGTCATAGCAGTTAACAAAATCTTTCTTATTACTCTAAAGTCATTAATTGTTCAAATGATTTGTTTTTATCAGATAATAAAAAGACTAGGGGTGAATAGATAAATTAATGTTGTCTAAGAAAAAGTACTTATTTAGTCAGAAGATTTGTTTATTCCCTGCAAATATTTAATTCACCAGCGGAGACATTCTAAACACAAAAGATTCCTGAAAAGCCGTTTCTTTCGATAACATCATGCACCCACAGTCCAGTACGAAATTGAAAGCAGAACATATCTGGCTCGAATAGCACATAGTATCGTTGGACAACTCATTCGGTTACCAATTGTCTGTATTTACTACTTCCTTCAATTCTTACCATTGCTCAACTTCCACTTACAATACAGACACTTTTAACTGGTATTTCAGTTTCCATTAGTACTGAGCAAATACATCATACTCTGACAACATATCATTCTGAATATTGCTAGACTGTTAAAAAAATATATCTTCCCATACAATTAGACTAATCTGTTGATTAGATGTTTATGAAAACAATTAATTGATACACTTCAAAAATTCAAGTACTTCAAAGTTTACTTATCAAAGAATCTAGTTTCAATGAAGGGATTTTTTAATTAATTCATGAAGTCATTTTCCACATATTTTAGATTTTATTTACACCAGAGAAAAATTATTCATTGATTACAATGTCATTTTATCATAGACTTTTAATAAGCAATAAACACACAGCATGTAAGTATTGGTCAACAAATGATAAGGATTAATTTAGATTTTCTTGGTTCACTTACACATAGTAAGCAAACCCTTTTTGATGGTGGTCATCTGAGTTGGATGCACTACAATTTATAGATGTCATCTAGTTATTAATATTTATGTGTAGACATATGTGAATGTGGGCTAGTATCAATAATATGACTGTTTATGACAACGCTTGTTCTTCAATACTCAATATGATGTACCATGTCAATGTTAGCAAGGATCTCAGTAATCTTTTTCTACAAAATATAAATGAGGCATTTATTAATTTTCATCCTTATGTATTGATTGTTTGAGTCATCGTATTGATGTTTAGAACAGATCAATTACAGTCCTAAACATCATTGAGATCAAAACAACCAATATATAGGGATGAAAATTAAGATTTAGCAAATTGCATAGATCAATGACTATCCGGACTCAGTAGGTAAGTGATGGCATTTGACGCGAAAAGCATTGGGTTCGAGTCTCGGAGTGGATAGCAGCTCGGATGCTGTCAGTGCATGAAGGTACATAGGGGCACCGAATACATATTTGCCACACAAGTCACTTGATTTGTGTGTGGGCTGTGATAAGACCCAGATGCCCAGACCGAAGCAGGTGGTTTTCTTGGGGGGTCACACCCGGAACCTTCGACTTAAATATCTGATTCACAAGGCAGTGAAGCGATGTCAAGAAATGCAGTCTCATGGTAGCCGGTGGCCAATAATTAGATCGTATGCCATTTGTTCCTTCTTGATCCTAGAGCCCATGTGCACTATTGGTTTGGAACCAGGGTTTTCCAACTCTCCTAGATAGATCCTGCATATCCACCGACTTGGTTGAAGCGCCGGGTATTCAATCGACAAGTCCCAGATAGGATGTATCGCGCGTCCTTGATTCCACTGCTAGCCACTATTCATCTCTGCTTAGAAGCATTTATTAGTTGTTAGTCGGTTAAAATAATTATCATTATGTTTATTTTTTACTTAAAAGATAATCGGGTTTTGTAGTATTTATGATATATATATATATAGTCATAAAAGTAGGTTTACTACATGGTTTTTGCTCTTTACTAACTCTTGCTAGCTACTGTAATAAAAGTTATTTACAGAACATAGCAGTCTAGTCATATTTTCCCTTTTCACATGTACATTTATTTTACTTCGGTTGATTAACCAAACTACTCTGTTGTTCATAGATCATCTGTTTTAGTTATGATACGATACTGTTAGGGAAAAGAAAATACATATGCTGTTGTGTTTAAGTCTATGAAGTATTCTTAGAGTTTGAAATTTATCAGTAGTAAATGAGATAGGTTTGGGCCTACAATTTATTGACTGAAACTTAGTTGTTAAAATTACTTAGATATAACTTTCGAGATGAAGCATAGATAGTTTAAAGACAATTCACTTACTGGAATCACAACAGTATCTCAGAGATGAATCAAATTTTTAATATTCTTACAAGACAGAATAGCTTTGTTTGATAATAGAAAACATCTTATTAACATGTTTGCTGGGTTTTTTTAAATATTTTACATACATATTATAACAGATTGTTGTCATATTGTTGAAATAAATAATTTTTCGAGTTCTGAAATTTTGAATATTCGGACCATTTGTACAAACATTATATGTCGGTAAGTTTATCAGAAGATATGACTGAACTATGCTTATTTATTTGTAAATAGCGTGCATTGATATACTCTTTTTCTTCATCTGTTGAATAATGTTCAAAATCTACTTCAACAGACATAGAAAACATTGGTGTACGACATAATAAACATATATGATTCAAGGCTATTTGACATGGACGACAAAAATAAGCATCACATTCTTCACAACGTGTGAAATTCTGTTTAAATTCAACTTTTTTTGATGGATTCCCATCACTACCACAAAATGTACAAATAATGCGTTGAACTCCGAATAACTTAAGAAAATATGCTACACGTGGATTACGGCATAAATATCTTCCAAATCGTGACAAATTTTGTGATCGGTGATTTGAAGCGATATCTATTGTTTTAATTTTGTGTATAATACGATTATATAAGCCACGGTTATTTCTTATATGTATACGAAGCCAGGCTGCACGTCTAGCTGCTGTCTTTGGATAGTACCATATCATGATGACATGTCGTAAACGCATAATATACACCTAAGAAAATAATAATAACAGTTTAATTAAGGTAAAAACCTGTGATGAAAGATTATATTGTGCACAAATTCTGCCTTAATTATATCGTAAATGCCATTACCAAGGACAGTGACGAATCTGAGAACATGGAGTTCACTCTTTAATGACAAATGATATCTTGCGGAACAGAACTCCCTACTAAAGTACACCGGTTCTCTCTGCCTACTTTATGACAAAACAAGTTATTACCAGGGGTATAAAACTAAGAAACTAGTAATCCGATGCTACGTTTTATTTACTCCTGACTTTGTATGTCAACACCATGACTTGACTTGGACATCTCTAGGATTTCTCAATTTTACAAGCACCTGCTAGAGTATTTGTATAATCCGGTTAAAACCTTTACACATCAGGACATGTTGATTCCTAATTTTTATTTGTTCCACTTTAACTAACTTAAGTAAGAATGTAGTTACTAGTACAAGTGAGTTAACATCGCGTATACTGTGTTTTAATGTTAATTTGTTGACATATATTGAGGCTAGACCGTAAATAGTTCTGGAGTGACTTCCCAGATTGTGATTCAAGGTACTCCTGCTTCCGAATCTAAGAACACAGTAGTTCCCTTCAAAGTGAAAGTAAGACTTCCTGATCAGTATCAGCTAGAACGAAACCTAACCTCATGGTTCCTTATATACTACCGGAAGGCACTAAATACCAGACACATAGTCTCTTTTTCTTCGCATGCTTCTAAAAATCAATCATGTCTTAAGAAATGAATCACAATAAAGCAGGAAATCAAGTAAAGAAGCGAAGTATGGTAAATAAAACAAGATCCACAGAACGATTAATAAATAAATTGATGTTTTGTCGATCCTTGTATTATATTCAACTCTACACTTATGTTGACAAAATATCTTACTTATCTTTTACCCTATTTATGAAGACTCCTGAAGAAATGTCTATTATAAAATGAAAATTCAGAATTTTATTGTTTATCTAAACGATTTTATGAATACAAACTTCACACAGAAATAAGCTACAAATCACTAACAAACGAACATCTGATATTTCACAGCAGAATCGTAACACAACTTGCAGAATGTAACTTCATTAAAATTTAAAGTCACTTATTCTTCTGAAAAATACTGGTTTGAACAGGTCTAATATTGTTGCTTAATAGTGTAACTATAAAATATAAATTATTCTAATTAAGCTAATGTGAACTATGAATTTTAAAGGAATATCTTCAGTTACAGTGCCCCCTCGCCATTACAATAAACTCACCACTGTGTTATTCATAAAGGTTTGTGTAAATAAGTTAAATTAAAATTTAACTACTAATTTACAATTGATTGATCACTGGGTGATGATTAGTGTCATGTATGTCAGGCCCTTCTTAGTTCAGATCGAATCCTATCGACCAAGTTGCAATGTAACTACTAGTGTAGGTGACATGACATTGCGTGCACTATGTTGAGATAAGATGATCGTTGGAAGTAGTTTCGACCCAGATAGTTCAATGGTAACGTCTCCAACTATGAAGCTGGGTGATATGGGATCGAATCAGTCAGGGAGCATCAGTCCCTTCAACTTTACAGGTACACCTTGCTGAGGAGTGTCAAGTAGAACGAAACCAAGGTCAAGGGTTTCCTGTTGACTACCACCAACCACCATCTTATTTTAACTACTATTATTTATAATTCACTTATATATTAAAGCTTTGAAGATTAGTGTTTAAACAGATGTCCCTGGTGTTTCAGATACTTTGCATTAACAACGTGTTTCAGATGTTGATCACAATATGTTAAAATGAGTTAGTGACTGATTACTTCGATTGCCTGCCATCATATTAAGTTATAAGCTGAATATGATGACAATTAGTACATAATTAAGTAAAAAAATAAATTACTTCAAATTTCAATGGGAGAAATTTGAGGACGATCTATCAATGTATTCTACAATGTTTTCTAGTGCTTTTGTTTCTAGGAAAAAATATTTTTGAAATATACTAAAAAAAGTTATCAGTAGAATGAGAACTTTCATTCTATAGATCTTCAATAAGTATTTTTTATTCGTTGTTATAATACAATTCAGTAACAGTGGGTTATCAATGATTTTCTTTATATGCAAATCGTATTTTCATAAGATGGCTATAGTTCCGTGTTTTAATGCCTTCTCATAATAGAATCGGATTTAAGTAGTACAAAAAACCTAACTCTGTGTTAAATGAACTTATGATGGTACAAAATTAACTTAACTAATATTGTGTTTAAGTAAAAGCAAAGATATGTTTGGATCAAATCTAAACGTACCTTTGTAAATTCTTGAAAACAATGTATCCTTCTAGTTTCTTAGTTGCATTTACCAATTTACATAAGATTAAGTTTACATCTTCATATGAGAATACCAGTTACCTGTACTTATCATGATCACTTAGTTCATCACGTTTGTAATTCATAGGCTTACCATGTCCTCTCATATCATTAGTCAGTAATAGCTCCAGACTAGCAGTGAAATCAACAATAAGTGTTTCTATCTATTTTACACTCATCAAATGAGTGTGAATTGTTATCCATACACCACACTGCTTTAAACTTGATATTAACTTCCTTTAAATGGGTTAAGGTTTATTGCCTATTCACTGTAATTGGATATTCAAATATTGAATTTGATGAAAATCAGTATAAACTTGACTAAACAAAATAAATTTACATTATTTTTCTCAAACCCTTATTCGTGTATCTTTTCAACTGATCAATAAAAATCTGCTCTTTCAGTACAAGATCTGCTTATTTTACTTTAGTAACTGAAAAGCTTGCCTTCTTACATTCAGAATATGTTACACTCTCTATGAAGACATTAGAATTGCAAACTAAGTAGATTTTCACAAGGATCTTGACAAATGACTAGTTATTATTCAATGATATGAAATTTTAATTGGTAACAATATTAACCAATCAACTTGAAAATTTGATTTACTAAGGATGATTGGTAATATGAATTAAGTTAATTAATTGTCCCGCGTGGTCTAGCGGCTATGATTCCTGGCTCTCACCCAACAGGCCCGGGTTCGACTCCCGGCGCGGGAGAGTTTCCACATCCAACAACACTCGTCTCTATCTGCCCCCAACTGCCCTGGTATGGCCGAGAGTGGGGAGAGTCCGCTCTCCCTCTCCAAATGCTCTCACATGACCACGTGTATATAGCCTCTGCCAGGGAAGTCCTACTCATTGCCTTCTCGTGGCGGGGGTGTTGTTTATGAAAATGAGAGGACGAAAAGCGAATGTTCGGCGCTTTAACCGGATTCCAAACCAATGGTGCACATGGCCTCCAGTATCCTGAGGGAACAAATGACGTATGAACCAATTGTTGGTCACCGGCTTCCATGGGACTGCATCTCCTCACGATGCTCTACTGCCTTGTGCATCAGACCTTCAGGTCGAAGGCTTGGGGTGTGGCACCCTAAGATAACCACCTGCTTCGGTTTGGGCACCCAGGCAGTATCACAGCCCTCACACATATCGAATGAGACTTGTGTGGCGCATATGTATTATAAACTATAAAAAATCAATAAACAACAGATCTATGATTGTTTTATCTGATAATACTGAACAATGAATTGCATCCAAATACTAATTATCTTTTAAATTAAACTTACATAATTTACTCACTTGAAAAACAACACTAAAATATGCTAAACTTAGTAATAAGCAAATAAAAGCATATTTATATAAATCTGGTGGAGTTAATGTTGGTCGACAAAGTGTTACATCTATGTTTAATTCAATATTTTTCAATGGATTCATTAAACTAATCAATGATTGTACAATATTTGCAAATGTTGAATCACCATCAATATATAATTCATTTGTTTCATCTTCATTTATTTGTTCATCATCTTTTCCTGTAATATTTCCAAAATCAGAATAATCATATAAAAATAAAACTGACATAATATTAAAAATTGTATACATTACATAATCAGTTATCATAACTAGAATAATTGAAGTACTCCATGTTAAAAGCATTAAAGAATTAAAAACTGCAGATTGTTTTTCTGATATAGTCCAGCTGAAACTTGATAACTTCTTGTATAATTTCTTTTCTTTACGGATTAATGGAACTGTGGGAACCAAACCTCGTTTGAAGGCTTGTATTTCCTTAAACATAAAAAATTGGTAAACGAAAAAAAGGATTGATTGATGATCTCTGTAAATATATGAAACTTTGAGAACAACTTTCAGTGAGACAATAAATAAAATAACTAATATTGTTCTTCAAAGCTTAGAATGTGTATTCTCTCACAAATCAGTCAGTTAATACTAACCAGTTCATAACCTCAATCTCTAATCTATAATAAAGTATATTAGTCAATAATTTTCTACATAGGTAATAAAATAAATTATATGGAGTCTTCGTTAACTGTGTGCAATATATGATATAAAGTACCAATATTCAAAGTATATCAAATCATATTTACATTCCAAACTACTATTCGAAGTTTCAGAGATTTACTTTTTCAGTAAAATTATTAATTGATAGTATCATTACTGTTTTTCGGTTAGTTTGTAAATAAGGTTGGATCTATACAGTACCGGATCAACACGTATCACTTACTTGTGAACATCACAGACTTATTTTTGTCACTACTATTTTAGTCCTTATATGCATTACGAAAAAACGTTGGCAAATTAGTAATTACCTGATGATATCTAATTATTTCACCAAGAACATATTCTAGTACAACCTTGCTATTGCTATTCAAGTTAACAAATCTTTAAATGATGCGATCGATATGAATTACTAACAAATTATCTTTACTAAAGTGTTTATTTCTCATATCCAGATAATACTGTATAACCATGATCAATCTAATATGTGGGGATTTTGGTAGATAGAAGTCTATCTGAAGTTTGTGCTGATGATGTCGTTCAGAAGAACGATGAAAGCTCCACGATCAAACCATCCAGCTCGGAGAACAAAACTCTACCAAAATCATCCACCTGAGCTGCAAATCTTCTCCACCATCTCAATATGTGTGGATATTCTACATTTACTTCAAATACGACAAGGATAGAAGAAAATGATCAATGTCATCAGTAAAGCTTTTCTGTGTCAACTGTTCATCATATATCGATTGTGAAGTATCAGGTCGTTGAGTTTGTATTTAGAAACATTGTTAGATTTATCATTATCACATAATTTAAAAAACCTTGTCATTCAATCAAATTTATAAAGTTAATCTACAGTTTTTTATAAATTTTAATATTCTAACTTTACATTGTGTCAAGAATATTCATCTTTATCAGCTTTATTTTCAACCGCTTCATTCCTATAAAATAATACATACATATATCTTGTTAAATAAAGAAACCTAAGTGAAAAACAAGCTAGAAAACTGTCATATCCTAGTGAAGATTAAATCACGAGTAACTTCTGAGACCTATTAATTGACTAATATTATCTATATATTCTTATTGTATAACTATTCAGTAGCTAGATTATATATATATATATATATATATATATATATATATATATATTCCCCTTATTATAAGCTTCATTTTGACTTACAGATTATTATTATACAATTTACTGCTTTTAAATTATACTCATTTATTTGATTACCGTCTCCCATGTTCACAGTCACTTTTTGGCTTTATCGTGTATCAATGTTATTTCCTATTTTATGGTGTGTTGCGGTCTGTTTGTTTAGTATATAAACCTAATATGTCTGAAAAAATTATTCGCATAGTGCAGGCTGTTGTTGGCATTCTGGACTCAGCTGAATGAGTTAGACGAGCTACGGACCAATAGGACGCTAGGCTGATCAGACTGGTCGGACGTCATTAGTTTAGTACAGTATAAGAGCGAATAATTCGTATTTTGATTGGCGGGCCATAAAGACGCAACAAAAGCTATATAAGTACATGATGGTAAATTGGTGTGACCAATAAGTTGCATGATATATAGTGATGTATTTGTAAGATACTTATTATTTAATTATATTTACAACTCACTTGTTTAATAAATCCATCAGTTATATATACATTATCATATGAGTCCTTTGATAGCCAACACTTTTTAAATATAATTGCTTGTATAACTAATATCAACATGGTGAATAATGTCCATACTACTAAAATCCAAGCTAAAATCAATTTCACAACATCAATAGCTTGTACAAAATGATCCATTCTTTGTTGAAGTTTATTTGATATATAATGATCATCATTGAAAATAACTTCTATATTACTTAAATTACCATAAAGTGTTAAATTTTTACTTCCAATCAAATGGATTATTTCATGAAGTTGTTTAGTTAATTCTGTTGTTGTTGTAATATTCAATGTCTCTTCAAGTACGGCACTTTGTTTTCGGCATAAATCTGTAAATTTTTCTGATGAAACACAAGTATCTTTAGCAAAAAATCTGATAAAACGACATAGACTACTTAAAATTTTAAAACTATTTACACAACTAAAGTAAATATTATTAAAAAAAGCTAAACATTGATTCATTAAAGAAATTTTATCTTCACATGCTATAATTAATGAATGTATCCAACTGGCTTGACTTTCCATTACATTAGTTAATTGTATAATGGAGAAATTAATTTTAAATAATAAGTTTCTTAAGGTATTTAGAATATTGTTAATACCATCAATCATATTTTCTAATTGATCTTTCAATACAATGAATGGTGATTGAGTTAACTTTTTCAATACCATCATATTTGTATTCACTTGTGCTATGATACAAACAATGGAATTGCGAAAATTACCTGAATTATGTAGAAAATTTAAACCAGGTCCATTGAATGACATACCAGTTGCATAGATTAAAATTGCCCAACGTAAACGTGTAGCAATTATATATGGAAATGTTAATAATGTGATACATTGAAAATTTTCAGAGAATGCTAAACCATATACACTTATCAACATGATGTAAGCGCTTAATAATGTGGATAAATGTGGATTTCCTGAAAATGTGATCATAAATAAGAAATATGTTATGAGTCCTAGGCTTAATCCAAAAATCAAACCTAAAGTATTTTTTACACATATCCATTCTATGTTCTGTAATGGTCTCCGTTTCTGTTTGTGGCGTAATGTGATTCGAATAGGATATCTACGACAAAAATTCCAACATAACTGACATAAATAATACAGTGGGATTAGTAGGTATGATGGTCTTTGCAATTCATATAAAGCTGCTTTTATTTGTTGTTCATCTAGTTTTATTGACTCAGAATGTTTATTTTTGAGGGAATAATCTTGTTTATCTTTTTCACTCCCTTTATATTCCTTTTCATGAGTTCGATTTTGACAAGTATTTGATGGACTTTGAGATGCATCGTTCATTCGTCTTGCTCCACACCAGGTTTCTTCTTCTGTAGGTTGTGCTCTTACCTCCCTGTCGTTAACTATTTCAGAGCTTACTACTTTTTGATTCATTGTAGTTACAGCTTTCAACTTTTCAGCATATTTTACCTCCTCTTCACAAGTAAATCGGCTGGCGTTCTTATCACTCTTTTCATTTGAAACTGCATTATTCGAATTTATACTCAGTGGTATATACTGGCTAATTAAAGGATTTTTTGCATTCTTTCGCGATTCCCGATACCAATTTGAATCAGCTACATTACGCTTGGGAGATATCTTACTGTCTAACTCATTTTCAATTGATATAATGTCACAATCGCTTGAATCTAATTGGTGTTCACAAAGTTTGTCGTTGATTTTCTTCAGTGAAAACATGTTAAGTTGGTTGGTCAAATTACTGAACAACTATGAATATGCATTAAAACATTGTCTTAAATTTCTGCATAACAGTGCTATTTAAAATCAGAAAATCAATAATCAGATGTTAATAGAATTCAATTAAACGTTTGAAGTAAACCATTATTAGTCATATTAAAAAGTTGTTCTGGCAAGCAAAAGAGAACAGGCTTCTATGATATAATTTAGAACAGCATAATATATATTGAACGAAGCGTTTCCTGAACATATTGTGGTGTGTGCCACTGATGTTGACAGATATAAGTAGTATGTATCATCAATCAAAAGTGAAATGTCTGGCGAGAGAAGGTTAAGAAGATCAAAGCAAAAGGAACGAGAACAAAGAATGATTGGTGTGGAAACAAAAGAACATGAAGTCTAAGACGATTGACTGATATTTGCAAAAGGAAAAGTCAAGTTCCTATACAATTGACTGACATTTTGCAAATGAAGTGTTTACTGCATGGTTCTCAGATTTTAGTAAGATGTTCTGGAATTTTGTGCTTAAATATATTCGATTGTTCCCACTTGTATTCTCGCTCACTACAATAGCGAGTGTAGTGAAAGGAAATTTTCAATTGTTAGTTTTTGAAGTTATTTAATTGTTGAAGGGATTGAGTTTTGGCGGCAAAATCCACAAAATTTTTATAAATTTTAAAATAGTCATTTATATACATTTAGAACTTGTGTAGACTAAAAACACTGGTTCGTCAGTTCAATAGATTCAATGTTCCGACTAAATCGAGAAGTCTGACTTGCTGAGAAACGTTAATCACATATAGCTTTAAGTGAACAGCTACTATAGAAACCACAATAAGATTAAAGAAATGACAAATTGTACGTAAATATCTGGGTTAGAACAAATAATTACTAATGTTACGATTATTTAAATTTATGATAGGCTACATCAGTTAGACTGATGTGGTATCATTCTGTGGATTATTTATGAGTATTCAGATGGTGCTGCGATGAGAATTTTTCATAGACTGGACTATGGATAATTTTATCTAATACAAATATATTCTTTAATAATATGAATACACGCTAGATAGTGATACTAAGAGTTCCGTTGCATTTTTTCACGAAATAATTGATTTAATTTGTTCCTGTTGATATCATGTGTTTTTTAATCTTACTAGGTCATTTTAGGTATTTACTGGTAGCTAGTAAGAAGTCTTGATCCAGGAATTCCTGCTAATTTTCGCTCGTTGCCTAACATGTCCATATACAAACGGGGAGCAACTTTTATGAAGCATAACCTCATTCAAAATGGAACGTTTAGGAAAAATATGAAGATAATTTATTTTATTAGACATTATGAACATGCTCTCCATTTTTCGTGATCATATAATCTTATATTTCTGGAAAGAAATGAGGTTTCAATCAATATAACTATGACATGAACACATTAAGCCATAACAATAACAGTGGTACCGTATTATAAAACTGTAATTTGTATGAAATATTAGACAACATGTGCACTTTAAGATTTTATTTAATAATGAGTGTTATTTTATCTAATAGCTGTATGACTTAGAAACTCGTAAGTTATTTATATACATAGGTACTGTTCAGCATTTACTGAATAAAACAAAAATTCGGAACAAATTTAAAGAACTACTGTATACAAACTGTGAGAAAGTTTCTTTATAAGGTTGCATGCTTGTTAGCTTGATACTCATTTAACTACTTCAGTAGTTAGCATTTCTTCATTTGTTCTAAAACTGACATTGAGTTACAAAAAATATTGATATCCGTCACGTTTAAATCCAAGTGATATGCATAGCATAAAGAGAGGGTATTATGGAAGATATCCTTGTTTTCAAGTAATAAACCTTGTTATTCATCTATGCACAATTTGTCGACAACAATTTCTAGCAATAGACAATCTCTTATGTATTTTTAGTGAATGACCCATTATATCCCTTCTCCAAAATTCTTTCTCTTATCCACTTGATTATCATCTACCAGATGTATACTCATTTGTATATTCTTTCAGTCTAAAGAGGCTACCATAGTTAATTAAAGTCAACGTATATTTTAGTCTGACTTAACAATCCTCACTGTAGCACCTATAACAAATCTTCCTAAATTGATTTAAACTACTTATATTTGTATCTAGTAGCAAAATAAATATGTAGACAATTAAGTCAATTTTGTTAATGAATGAATTTATTTCAAACTGATAATAATGAAAATAACGAATTAATAATAGTAATAATAATAATAATAAAATTCACTAGCCATTCTGTTCTCTATTTTTTCCAACTTTATCAATATTCATATTAATAATAATAATGACAACAACTTTGATGGTTACTAAATATTAATAGTAAGTACCCTGTTCTCCGTTTGAAGTAAGTTAGTTGTGATAGGAAGAAAAAAATAAGACAAACAAACAAAAAAAACAAATAAAGAGATAAAAACTAAAAACTTTCTCAAACGAAAATCCTTAAACCAAACAAACAAATAATGAAATTTCATTCTTATTTTCTTAATGTATCATTCAATTCAATCATGATCATTATTGTGTATTATACAATATGTCACTAAATGTTTCATTCTTCTTTTGTGACATAATTCCCCATTAAATCGTTTCATTTTATTACAGTTTATTGTTTTTATAGTCAGTTGTTATCGAATATGCCAAAGAAAAATATGTTTATGGAAACACATTACGTAATAATGATATTATCGTTTAAAAAAAAGATTTTACATAAAATTTCTGGCAGTTATCAAATCATTTCAATTTATGTTTATACTCTGTAATTTATACTAATGATCATACAATCTAACTGAAACCAAACATTATTTGTCTATCAACAACCAATTAGTGTTTAGGTTTGTTTTGTTTTGTTTCTTTTTCAAAAGAACCATTTGATTTGTTTATAAAACACAATAAAAGAATAAGAATAATGAAAGAGATGTTTTCATTTGAAAGAAAAAGAGCAGTAAGTAGTGGTCATAGTAACTGTTGTTATTCAATGGATTATCATTCTTAATAAAAGTTACATATTTGTTCATATTTATGTATATATATTTAATGATTTCTGCCTCATGAAATATCAAATTTTTACTTATGTACAAACACAAAGAGGGAAGGGAAGTAAAGAAAGAGAAAATAAAATAAAAACTTGTGGAGTAAAACACGAAGAGTAAATGACTGTTTATGAATTATGATATTGAAATATAGAAGTAGATTTCGTCAGTAAACCTGTTGATGGTGATTTAAAAAATGATAAACTGCTTTTATTGTTGTCGTTACTATTATTATTATTATTATTATCACAACCGTCATCATCATTTTCTGCGCATGTATCACCGACATTACCAGTTGGGATTGTAATGTCATATTGTGAATGATGATGATGATGCTGATGATGTTGATCATATTGGACTGGATAAATTGATTTAGAATTCAATGATTCTTGTATGCCTAACTCTGTATGTGTATAATTCAGATTGTTCATATCATTGGGAAGATTATAAATTAATTGATGATTAGCACTATGTAAAATTGATGACTGATCAGTATTTGTTTCTTCATTACGATTTAACAAGGCAGAACCTCGTAAACAATGCATAAACTGTTCATTTTCTGATGCCAAATGCCGATGAGAATGTCGATGATGTTGAATATCTTCATCTGATGAACCAGACAATGAATCAATATTTCCATTATCCATTTGTAATATAGAAGAATTAAAGTTTTTTAATTTATTTGTCCAACTTGAAGGAAATGTAGTATACTGATTTATAGTATTTAAATTATGTGTAAATTGATTAGTTGATATAGGGGTAATATTTGACCATTGATCAGTTAGGTAACATGGTAATTCTGTTTTCTGTTGTATAGATGGAGACAAACTATCATGTTGCTGTTGATGATGTAATGGAATCGTTGAAAATGATGTAACAGGAGTATCATTTACATCTGATGTAGAAAAATCCATTGAACGATTAAATCCGGAATTTGGTCTTCCAGTTGGATTAGTAATAATATTAGGATATGAATGAGATGTATAATTTAATTGATTCAGATTATTATTATTATTATCATTATTATTATCTTTGTTAGTATGACTGTACCTCAGATTGTTCGAATGTACATCAAATGATAATAAATTATTTGAATTGCTTATATTATTAGATAAATAATTCGAATAATTTTGTGCATGTGATAATAGCATTGATGAATAATTCGGCGGATAATTTGACGATGAATTCATCATCATCATAGGAACTGTTGCATCATTTTGTGATTGTATTCCATAAGAATCATTATTATTTAATGTGTTTAAATGATCTCTATCATTATTCACACTATTGTTAGTATTATCATTATTACCATTACTACTACTAGTACTATTATTATTATTATTACTGCTGATTAAATCAGACTCTAATAATCTATTGGCTAATAGATTCATTTTACCATTATTAGATTCGATTGGTAAATTTTGTAGAACAGGATTAAATTCATGGAAATTACGTTCAGATTTTACATTAATTAAATCATTATTATTATGATTTATTTCATTTCTGAATAAATGATTATCTGCTGACGTTTTATTATTGATTGATTTATTAATGACATAATTCTTATCTATTATCCCATTTCTATTATTATTATTATTATTATTATTTTGCTTTTGTTGAACACCATCTACACAGTGATCAATATCTTTCGAGGTAGAACATGTTGATGATGATGACGACGATGATATTGATGACATTAGTAATGGAGTTAAACGTTTAATAATTGTTTCATCCGATTGTTTTGTTGATAAATTTTCATGTACTGAATCATATTTTCCTGGTATTATTTGTGTTAAATCTAAAAATGAGGAAATGAAATAATCCACAGAAAAAAAATTTTTTAAAGATGAAATTATTCATGAGAGAATATATCTACAATGAAATTTATTAATGGGGTTTTGTAGCTTAAGTTGGGAGTGACATAAAAACAAAAACGGCGAGACTCTAATTTATGGATGAGCCAATCAGAAGCATTTTAGAGATTTCGAGGTTACGGCGCCAACTTCAGTGCCTAATGCTAATGTACGATCGGTTTACAGGGGTTTTCATGCAAAATGTGACAACTGGGTGGCTGCAACAAACAAAACGGCGAGACTATAATTTATGGAGGAAACAATCAGGTATAAGATAAAAGATCTCGGATTTTAGCACGAAAGTTTTTCATTTATTTGGCTAAATAGAATTTTGGTATTATAGCTGATGTCAGTTCGTGATGAAAACCCCGTATATAATTCCTAACTAGAGCGAATTATGACAATCAGTGCGAACTGGATTATAAAAGCACCAGTAACACTGGCTGCAGCCATGTACTGCAAAATATACGGATGATTGCAGAGCGCACAGACTCATACATAGGCTTTGTTATGTGCATCGTGTCGTTATTCACAGGTGGCATTTTGTATACTCAACAACCGGAGTGCACACAAACAATATTGGGGCTACGTGGTCGAGGCTGAAAGAGCTTTTGTGACCTTATCATGGTTCCAGAGACCGACTATTCTGTAGCCATATGGGTGATTTCCTCTACTGCATGCACTACGATTTTAGAATCTCCAAACCTCTTTCTTACCTTGACAAATTTTTGAACCACATATAAGAAGTGTATCCGCTTTACTTCTTCGGTTTTGTATAATATATTTTTACTCTATACTGACTGTTTGCTGATCGACTAATGTTTTTCAAGGTCACTTTAGATTCGTTCAAAGGTCGTCCATAAATTAGTCCCGCCATAAAAACTTTGAAATTAAACTATCCATTATCTAATAAACATTTATGGATATGAACAGTGTTGTCAATAAATCAACTGCTGGTCTCATATTTTACCAACTGGTGATAATGTATCACAACTAGAGTTATGAAAATAGACGACATAGTTGGAAGAAAACGTAAGTTAAACTGGAGAAACAAATTTATGTAATAACTGTAATGATGCAACATGATGTTTGGATATAAATACTTTGATAATGGATAACAATATAAATAATTGAAAGGAATATATGCAATAAATGGATTCATCTCATTGTACTATAATGTTTGTTACAAATTCGTTTATGTTTATAAAAGGTAAAAATGGTAGAAAGTAAAATTAGTCCTAGTGGGTATTCTATAACATGAACTATGCAGAAACAAAGACTCTAATTGGTAATACATTTCAAAGGAAAATAAAGTTTATGGAAAGTTGAATAAAAAATAGAAGAGCAATATCGACTTATTTTATGAAGACTGATTGATTATTTATAGAATATTATTAAATAGCTAGTGATTTACCTGTGCTCGCTGTAGGGGTGGAACTGAATGGATTCAAACAATGACTTGGGTTTGATGGAAATGAAGGGTTATGATTTGACAAACTTGATGAATTAGTTCCATTTTGAAGGACTTTATTGTTGCACATTTCCCTAGTATTGTCATTTATATTTGACCGAACTTTTGTCGAAGATACACCAGATTGAAGATTGAAATAAAATTTCTGTGAATTTAGTAAATCCATTCGTGCATCTAGATTCCACAAATCAGATGAAAGCTTGCAATCAAAATTTTGATTATGTCCAGGACTTTGAGGTAGTGTGACAGATGATGAGTCATATGTTTGTGGAGTGTAAGCACATTCGGCTTGTTGCTTCGGCGTTGAACTTATTGACGTGTCACTGATTACTTCGTCTAAAGAATTAGGTCTTCCATCTGATATCCGACAGTCAGTTCGTGTTGTATTTGGGTTTGCATTGACGCTGTGACCACTATTTGTAATATTAATGCCCGAATTGACTGCAGCAGTAAAATTGTTGCTTCCAGAAGACACTAAACCAGCTGCTGCAGGATGTATGGCGGCTGCAGCAACCAAACTAGCTGGCCAAAATCGATTGTTTGAAGGTCTAAAACATGAAAACGCAAATGAAATATAACCATAATGGACCACTTTTGAATTACAATTCGGTTTTCCCTCGAAACAGAGTGTTTACTGAGATAACATCTACCTGATAAATTTGTTTATTTGATGGTCGTAATAAAAACAGAAATAGACTACTGGTTTTTTGTCTATTAATTCACTTCAGAACCCTAAAACGTGAAGTCAAGTCTAAAACATTTGTTTCATGGGGTTAAGAATGTACCTTCACTGCACTATGAGCATCATAAACTATTAATGTTTTGCGTTTTTGTTTCCGAACATTAGCAGACTGCTTAGTGTTGGATCATGTATGTAAATACAATTGAATCTAAGAAAACAAAGTAAACACCTAATAACATGCAACAGGAGTTATACTGATAATTAATAACTTATTTTGCACACTAACTACTAACAACCTGTATCGAATGACAAAGAGCCACTTTGAACAAGAAATAGCTGTTTGTAAATTTTAAAATCCCTCGTTACAACTTACCACACACATTCATTTGTAAATCTCAACAAGATTCGACTAGGTGCTGAGGAATTCTGTTATATCTGTTTTGGGTCGGTAGTTCGAGCTATTCAGTACTTGATTCTTAGAAAAAAATAAATGTGATGGTCAACAGACGGCACTGTAATTTACGTGAAAATCGACTGGGATGACATTATTTTTATCTGTCAAATGAACTACTCATTAGTAGTTTATATTTTATGAAAACTATTTGCAAAGTCAACCAATCTTTCAGGTCATTAAGTTATCAGCCCCGTTACATTTCTGATATCTTTTCTCAAAAACTATGGGTCAACGATTAAAAAATGGCCTGTACTAATATTAAAGTATGACTCATGTATATTGTACTGTTCAATTCCCTTCCTAACGATTTTCTCAACTTTCCAACATCCTGAACAATGTATACTATGTCAATATTGTTAAACATATTTCATTCCCGGAAGTTAAAAATTCAGACAAATGATTTCTAGTTTTATTCAAAACTTGTTATGTATTTGTATGCACATAGGCAGTCGATTATATATATGTATACATATGTATACTCCACTTTCTGGTTTGAATTTTCTGATAGTGTTTGGACTTTCAATGATTATATTCATTCTCCTCTAGTTTTAATTGACTAACTAAGCGTAAATCAATAAGATTACAAGGTCATATGTAAGTAAACGTTGATTATTTATCTGTCTATTTAGTTACTTAGCTATCTGATTTTATTGCTACTTTCATAATGTTCATATTAGTCATAACAATTTATGAATGTTATCGTTATTACTATTATCATTATTATTATTATTATTATTATTATTATTATTATTATTATTATTATTATTATTATTATTATTATTGTCATATACATTATGTCGATGATGAACAATTGTATGCTAAAAAGTAATGCACTATTATTCTTAAAATATTCATCAGTTTGTGCACCACTATGTGATAAAATATGAATAATAGGTCGCATTAGTTACGCGATTATGTTTGTGTGCTTTCCAGAATGATAGATGACAAAAAATACGACATTTTCATGAAGACCAATATTACTACTACATGAATTGTTTGTTATATTTTCATGTGAATATAGAGATTTTCAAAGAAAGAACTATTAGATAATAATTTGGTCTGAATTTATCAAACATTTTATGATTGTTAACTGTGTAATTTTCGGACAACCATTTCAAAACTAATCATAAGGGAAGAAACGGTTGACAACTTGGTTCACTTATGCAGAGACTATTTCATAGATAATAGGCACGCAAGTGAAACGTTTGAAAATATGCTCTCGTAAAATAAGGAACACCCTATTCCTCATATTAAACAGATAAACGAACGGGACAATATATAAAAGTAAACGGAGTGTTGTCTACAAACTGCAGTGCATAAATTACAAGAAACACTGTGTTAGACATATTGGATACTTGTCCAGCCTTCATCTCTGCTGATTTAGACACATGTAGTCAACAAGGTTGCAGAAACTATGCAGATCAAACAAAGCAAAAACACGGAAACAACCCTTTTAAATTACAAATGATTTTACCGTGTCGAATTCGATTAAACTTTTATTGCAGATCTTAATTTATTGTGTTTAGTAATCTCTGTTTTTGGTGAAACTTGCAATTTCATGTTTTATCCGGAGAATATTATCTCATCTCACCTACAGACCAATAAATCCATGGACCGCTACTGTGAGTACCCTGTCAGCTTGATTAGTGAAAGGAATTAAAATAAAGAAAACTACCAAATATATATCGTTAGTATCACTGAAAGATATTAATCAGTATACCTGCTTGTTGCAGCTTTTTTCTTCTTACTAATAACATGTGATTCATTACAACCCATGGAATTGGACAGTCTATCTGATGATCCATCTACATTATTACAATTATTTCCATGTGGTACAAAATTCGAAGAATCTAGCATTGGTTGTAGAATACGTCGTCTTGCATTGATAAACCAATTATTTACTTGCAATAATGTTAAATTTGTTTGGCCTGCTATATGTCTTTTCTCATCTTCTGTTGGATAAGGGTGCTGCAAATAAAAGGCGATAAATACATTAGAAAACCTTAATATCAAACTCACTTGGAACATTTTTACTCAGCATTATATATAGCATAATTATTATTTATATCTTAATATTTTTTTTCTTTGAATGGGAGTTATATTTGTTTGTCAAAGTCATTGCTAAGGTTATTTACATTCATTTCTTATACCCTGTAACTACCAACTAATGGACAGTGAATGGTTGGACAGCTTAATACCCAAGTTTTACACTAGTAATACTCTATCAATCCACTGTACTAAGTATAATAATCCTAGCATAATTGTGTAAAAACAATACAATAATCAGTTGGTACAGAAGTTATCTTAATGATGTAGGAAAGTATAAGGTAACAAAAGAAGAAAAAAAAGTTTTGTCTAATTTGTACACATATATTCAACTATGCACATACATATATATACATATATGTGTACAAATATGTACATATAGAATGGCGTACACCTGTTGATTATCTCAGGCTTAACACCTAATTGTAGAACTGAATATGGAAAAAAAAGAATAATGGAAATTGTTTTATAGAATCAGCAGGACAAAGGTGAAAAAATATTCCAGCTGTTCCTTTCACTAATATTTATTTGCCAACAATGACCTTATTGTGTGGATTATATATGGTATCTTTTTGTATTCCACATCATTAAAACTAAATTGTGGAAGTGGTGGAATTTTGTTAAAAAAACAAAGTTCTTGTCAACCCTTTAATAACTGAATATAATTTTGACCAGAAGAAAAATTATCATTGTGTGATTATTGAGATTGTTAAGTTTTTGATTAAGATCATGAATCCATTGCTTTCAGGTTTTCAATGTTGGTCTAACGTTAATTGATTCATGATCTCAAACAAAAGAAAAATTGTTGGCAATCAACAAAGATCAGTAATTACTGATCAGTGATTACTGTCTATTTATTTTTTTTCTCAGTAGTATTGAACGTCTATTATGAAATCAACCCTTTCAGACTGTATAAAGATCACTATAAATAATTGACAAGACATTGACAAATTTGATTCAAAACAAGTTTTGTACAACTGATCACCACCCAATGATCAATCAATTGTAAATACATCTCAGTCCTACAAGAGATCAGTTGCAGTCCGGATAACCTAGTGATAACATCTCTCACTGTAAAGTTGCATAACACGGAATCGAATCCGTTAGAGAGCATCAGTTTCATGAATATTATAGATAGACTTTGCTGACGAGTGCCAAATAGCAAGAAATCGTGTTTTCTATTGAATGGCTTCAACCACCAACTTATCTGAACATTTAACTTGTTGAGTATCATTTCTTAGAACTATTATTTATAATTCAAATAATATTCATGAATTCAGTCAAGAATTCATTAGAGCAAATTATCTGAAGGGGTTTTGTGGAGATTTTAGTAATTTCAATTGAAGCTAGACCACAATAGGATGAAACGAACGTCCAGCGCTTCCAGGTTTTCCATGATGATCTTCAATTGACTCATGATCTCAATTATTGAAATTAGTAAATTATCTTTTAATGTAACTTAATGACTCTTAACATCCAAAATAATGAATAAAAAAACTTAATTACATTTATTGTATGTGAAAATTATATTTGAAATAATCTCAGCGATTGAAATTTAAAATAATTCCAATGTTTCGTCCAGCTAACATGTCTTGACTTCTTCAGGGTAATAATTAAAATCCAGACAAGTTAGCTGGACGAAACGTTGGAATTATCTAAATTTCAATCGCTGACATTATTTCAAATATAATTTTCACATATAATGACTTCTCTATATTTGGCTCCCAATTTCTGTCAAACTATTCGTTCTAATCATGACGAATATTCGTATAAATTAATGACATTTAGTTTTAATTATTATAACTTTGTTTTAATAAAGAAAGAAAAAAAAGGCTTATCATAATAACCTTAAGTGGGATTATATACAATAAGATAACATAAATTTATTATTCTTCATGAATGATACTTTCTTCTAGGAAAAGTGTTTCAACACATAATAAACTTTGAATATCTTTATATATGCTTATAAGTTATTATGAGTATATATATGGGTATAAAGGTGTGAAATCATTTTCCATATTGTGTAAATCAACTAATAGAACAAATAATTACAAGCAATACTATTAATAAAATAATTAAACAATAAGAAATGATCATTTTCAAGTGGACAACAAAAGAGAACAATCGTGTGAATTATTAAAAATTTAATTAAAAAAGAAAGTGTTTTTTTAATTTTAAGATGTAAAATCACATTAATAAAGGGGTGTATCTATACCAGTTAATCGATCATCTAGAGTTATCACAGTTACTTATTATGACATTATGTTCGATTGAAAATCTGTTTTCATTCATTATATTACGAATTCAATACCAAACAATTTATTTTATTATCAGAAGGGGTTTTGTGAAGATTTTAGAAACTTTACTGATTGAAATCATGAGTCAATTGAAGCTAGACCACCATGAATTGATCTACTAAGTATGGTTATTGATGATAAGAGTTAAAAAACAAAACAACAATTGAATATTAATATTTATTTTTCTTAAATGGATAGCTTTAATATATTTAAACATTTCACTTGAATATTTTTTGTAAGCAATGATGGATAGTGGCTAGCAGTGAAATGCAGAACGCGCGTTTCATCCTATTTGGGACTGATCAATTGAAGTCTTAAACCTCAATGGGAAGATACAAGTCAAACAATGCCAAGTGAATTTCACATGAGTAGCTTCTTGCTTATTCAGTATATCTTAGAGAATATAGATTACAGAAGTATTATATATTTTGTGAAGTATCTGAATGATTAGACACTTTAAACATAACTGAGTAAAATATACTTTTCTTTTTAAAAGTAAATTAAAACCTATATGACTTAACAATTACTTGAAATCAGTGAATATAAGTATTTATTGTGAAAACTAAAAAAACACGTTATAATCATGTTTCAACCAGAGTTGAACATTTAATGTATTGACTAGTGATTACTTTCTAGAGTTTATTCTTACAGTTCCAGTATGAAGTCATGATAGGTGGAATTCAGTCAATTTCGGGTATGAAACAATTACTCATCTATGACCATTAAAGGATAGTTTTACTATATTACTAGCTGATTAAAGTTAGAAATATGAATTATTGAATGATGAATCAATGATTTAAAAGGTTAATCACTATCAGAGAAACAATAGGACGGTAATTTTCTTAATTTGCATTTTTCATTTAATATAGATTGGTCTGTAGTCACTGTTTCTCTTTGCCCGTTGAGGTTTATATAATAACGGCTACGAGAGTCTATGGTGATAACTATCTAAATAACGTAAAATTTATAATCAATTAATTATGATGAAAAGATATTACTTTCATATGACAAAAGCTTTATTCCGAACAATTTATTAATTTTTAATTATAAATTAAGGATATATTCTTTTTTGACAGATTTCATTTAGTTAGACGAATTAGCTGACCAGTGAATGAATACATATATATCCATTGATCTTCTATAGTATGAAAATTGTTAAGAATACTCAACAAATTAGGACGAGATCATGGATGGATTTACTTTCAGTAATAAACCAAACGTTTACAACCAAATTCATCGTATAAAAGTTTTTCTTTTTGTCTAACATCGTAATGATTTATTGTAGGTGAATTGTTTGGTCTTAACAGTGTAAAGAAATAGGAAATTGTTAACATTTAGCCTGAATAATTCAGTTTGTTGAGCTTAAACACTACAAGATAAACAGAAATTTAGATCAGATTTAAAAAGATACATCTAGTACTCGCCAAGTCAAACAGGTTACCTAATCAGCATATATATTCTCTAACAAATTACCTCCATTAATGATCAGTTCTTATTTCACATTACCTCTGTGAATTTTAAGTTAATTCAGTTCTGAACAAAGAGGACCTAGGATATGGGATTGAACACACAACCATCAAGTCTCAAACAATGAAATTCGTAGTTAACAGTTTTATCTTAAGCTGTTTAATAAAAAATAAGTGGAATAACCTTCATTTAATCAGTCAAGTCAGAAATCAATCCAAACAACAAAGTAAGTTTAAATATTAAAATGATTTATCAAATGAACGACAAGCATATATTTTGTTCATTTGCATTCTAAATAGATTCACCATAAGGGAAAAATTCAGTTACTATTTAGAAAATGTATTCAGTTACAACATTAAAGAACTAGAATATGGATATAATCATGATGATGTGTCTTATATGTGTAGCATGGCAACATGCCATTTATCCTTTACCGAGAACAATAATAATAGTAACTATTATTATTATTATTATTATTATTATTAATGAATTTAGATTAGACAAATAAGACTTAATTGAGAATAAAATTTATTTTAAAATTTAAAAAACATAAACCATGAAAATAATACACAACTGATAATTATTTGTTTCATTCAGAATACAATGTGGTTTTAATGAATAACTAAATAACTAAATGAATTTACTAGTTACTAGAATACACAGTATAAAGAGAGATAGTGAATTGTTTATTAATCTACACGCATTGTTTAAAAATTATTCTTATTTTCCCATAGATTTTCCCTCCCTCCCTATCTCTCCCCCCTGTCCCCCCTCTCTCTCTCCCAATAAGTATTGCTAATGCGTGTTTATGTTGATTCATTATATGTATGTCTATGTGTATATGTGTGTGTATGTATTTGTTTATGTATTTACAAATGTGCGGTTTTCTAATAAATAGATAAATAACAAACAAAGAGATGAATAAATAAAATAAAATAAATAAATAAACAGAATAGTCAATGGTCATAAGAAGAGTTAAATGTAAAATGAAAAGAAATTCATGATAGACATGTGTAGAATATTAGTAAATAAATAAATAAATAATAAACATGAATAACAATTAATTATATTTAATTGAAAGCTTAAAATATGTTGAAATTTTTGCAATTTTCCCTTGCCTTCTTATCTATATAACCAAATAATTATGATTTCTACAGTATTAACAATAAAGTATCATAGTAACTCTTATAACTTATGAAATAAAGCTGATTTATACAT